GGAGACAAGATCTGCTTCCTCAAAGCTAAAACAGAAATTACAGGGCAACAGTGAAATTGCCAAAAAGGGGTATTCCCTTGTGGAGACATTTGCTCATGGTCACAATGGACACAACCAAAGGACCTTGATGTTTATGGCTTGTGTCAGATACATGCAACATGCATCTTTGTTATCATATCAAAAGACACCTGTAGCATTACATCTGATTTTCAATATTTTGTTCAATTGTAGCCCCCCAACAAACTTCATTGTCTCCCCAACTACACTTTCTGACTGGAATGTTCTCCTAGGTGAAGCGGACAAACTAATTTTACGCAAGCACTTTTCAAATTCCAAGTATGATTTTCATCTCTGGAGTGATGACTCCCACAAAGGAAGAGAGGAGAGGCACGTAGTGGGTGTTCACACCTGGTGTCCCTTAGAGAGCAAGCCACGAGCTTATGTCCTTGCAAACAGCCTAACAGCAAGTGGGTCTGGAAAACACCAGTCTGATGTAGATTACCACGTTGTAAAAAATGAATATGATATTACCAATGTTTCAGGGTTGGTTGGGGACAATGCCTCTACCCAAAAGGGAAAAGTAAATGGTCTTTTAGCCAACAATGCCAGAATTTTTGGAAAAGAGATGTTTTTTGTAGGAGGCTACCCACATGCACTAAACATTATGCTGAGAAGAATGTGCCAGGCTGGGTTTGGGGCCAAGGGTGACATGAGCAACCCCCATGTTTTACAATTACTCTATAAAATATCTTGGCTCCATCATGAGCGTCCAAGCCAATACAAAGTTATGTATGTTTCTCTTGGTATTCTAAGTAAAGAGCCACCCCTTCCCCAGACATTCATAGACACAAGGTGGACATATTATCATGAAACTCTCCAGTGATATCTTAAGTATGGAAAAGCTTGTTTACAGCTCGCTTAGTGTCTCCTTGAAAGATTGCCAAAATCAGATAGCCACCAGACTATTTGGCAAGATGTCATTAAGCTGAGCTCCAGTCCTATGATTCAAGTTGAAATCAAGTCTTTGTTTGAATTCCTCAATAAGTTTATCATCCCATCTCTGAATACATCCCAAGCTAGTGATGCAGAACTTGGATTCTCCAGTGGTTACCTAGCAAGGTTATGGCCAGCAACTGTTCTGAAGCACCATGAAACTTTAAGTAAAATGTTGATGTCTCCTGCAGAATATTTTCCTTTAACATCACAACAGGTGAAGATGTCATTGAAGGACCCAGCAGCTATCAACCACTGTCACAAACAAGTGCAGAGGCCAATGTTACAAGAAGCAATCAAAGTAATCAAAGATCATGGAGCAGAGTGGTTAACTTTTCCCAAGTTGTTTGGAATGGGAGCTGATCAGAGATACCAAAGTCCTTTCTGGTATTCAGTTTTAAAGCTTCTTGAAATTCCAGTCAGATCTGAGAATCAACAAGAAAAGTCAGTGAACAATCTCTTTCATGTACATGGACAGAACATTCTAACATTGGTGTCTAAGGATAGAGTTGGATTGATTAAATGGGCCACTCTTTGGAAATTGATGGAACCACAATTGCTCAGTGAGATCAAAGAAATTGCTTCATCACCACACAGCTCACTCATAAGTAAAGAAGCCACTCCAAACCTGTTTGAGTTCTATGCCAAGCACATTTTCAGTCTTCCAGTTAACAATGTTCTTGCTGAAAGACAGTTCAATCTTTCTCAACTGTATCTTAATGATAACATGTCAGAGTTGTCAAAACAGGCCTCAATCACACTTGTTGAAAATATTCTGCATAGTGGAAAAACCAACACCAGGACCACAGAAGCAGCGCATGAAGTTCACGAAGAAAGAATGAAAGATTATACCCAAATGCTCACCACAGACGTTTTGCGAGAGGCAAGAAAGAACCTAAACAAGATTAGAGAAAACTGCACACATGGGCCACTTACTGCAAAGGATGTTCACCCTAGAGCTTGGGTAGAGAAGAAAGTAAACAATAACTTACCAGAAACAATTCAGTCACTAAAAGCAGATGGTCACAAACTTAAACTTCAATGGAAGGCTTCTGCCAAGGGAACATCTGCACTGGAGGGACAGAGGTCATTCAACCCAACAGTAATTGAGGGAGTTACCTGTACACCTGATGGACAAGTTCCAAGACTCATGCAGCTAGTGGCACTAAAGGTGTGGAACTATGGGGAGGAGCTACCAATTTATGATCTACCAAGAGAATGCCAGTTGTGTCTACAAAATCTTCCAAATGTCTTCCAGCCTCCAACCACTCATCTTTCCACATCCCACATGTCTGAACATGTTACGCCATTGCCTGCACATGAAGAATAGATTAGTCATGAGGGGTGGCTCAGTAATTTTTAAATGTTTTAGATTTGTACATATAAGAATTGATTTCACTGACTACACTGCATGAAATAAATATATCTCAGCATGTATGCATTTTTACACACAGAGACGCATCTAATCATTGACTAATGTTTCAACACAACATGTTAGAATTAACCTGGTAAAAGCACGTTGTATAAGCCATGTAAGTAAACTGAACATAGCTTAATATCTTAGTATATGTACATGTAGCATGTTAGCTTTTTGGTTTACAATATTGCAACTGGTTTTACAGGGTAAAAGTGAAGTGCGTGGTGCCAAAGTTGAGACATACATGTACAATCATGTTGTATTGGATCTTGAATTAAATGAATTGAATATTACATTAAAAATGAACAGTAGGTATACGAAGCTGTAATGTATCTGATTTTAAATTGTTATGTATGACTGTTACTAAGCTTTGTAGAATATTGAACAAACACTGAATTTCTGTCACTAAATTTCAGCAGTTTAAGAACACAATAAATGTAATATTTAAGTACATGTAGATTATATCATTATACTGTTGCACATGTATAACTTAACATACGACACTAGCAGTATGTAACTTTGAATGTGATAAGAACATGACTTATGTATGAGTGTTCTTGTACAATAAGCTTTAACATTTTGCACAGGAAGGGCAAATCAAAGTGATGCAGCCAATGTTATGTTGCACATAGTTAGTGTACAATAATTAACAGTAATAAATTAGAGTGGAACACTGGATCTGTTAAAAATGTGCCAAGTTTATTATCCTGTCTTTCCTTATTCTGTGTAAAAGATAAGTAATACCATTCTGACCCGTAATTAATCCTCTCTCCCCTTTAAACTTTTTTCTTCTACTATTAAATATATCTACATCAATGGAATTTTTCTCACATGTACCTGAACTGGTCATTACAAGTTGCCTGTCAGGCAACTTGTAATGACCAGTTCAACAACCAAACTTTACCTGGACCTATACTAATTATTGAATATGCAGTGTGGTCGAAAAAAAATCAGTGTATTGGTCAATCCTCTACATTTAAAGTGCCCAAAAGAAATGAGCATTAGTTTGACAATCGACACCAGTCAAACATCATCTCCGTAATCCGTAGTAAGTACCAACGAGTACCCGAGAAGTGATTGATAAATTGTTCTTGGTTCCTGTTGACGATTAAACCGGAGTTCACTCTCGATCTCGAGTGGGCGATATTGAAAGGTAGGCTAATTGACCCTTTATCACCAACACACTCCAAGATAGGGGTCAAGATAACTTAATTTATATTCTTACCTCGTTCATTGTGCGCTTGCTGTACTTTCGAGCTGCTCTGAGTACATTTCATCAGTCGATATATTTCACTCCTCCATGGTATCTTGAGCGCACGTCAAAAAAATGCGAATAACTTTCAAACGAACAACGATGGACTCCAAAACTCAGTTTGCCTTGAAAACACGATGCCCACTCCTAAACTTGTCCGTTTTGAAATTCCAAATAATAAACACCACGCGCAATGAACGACAAAACAGTACGAAAAATTAGAATTTCTACCACTTAGTCGATGAAAAGGAAAAAAATAAAACGGTAGAATCTTCAACTTCGTCGCAGTCTTCCCGGTTTATGTGTTAAACTACCTGAGACTTAGTGTTTTGACAAGATATTCAACGGTAAAGTTTCAAAAGATTTAAGGAGAGAAGTAAACACAGGAGAGGGCCTATTCTGCGCATGTCTGAAATTTTCCTTAACTCACGTGCATACGCTGTTCCGTGAGGCCTTTTAAGGCTGGGGAGAGAAAAAATCTCTACCAAGAGGGCTGTCGACGGTCAAAAATAAGGAGAAGGGTGGGGTAGGGGAGTGAAGATTAATTTTCTCCCCTCCCCCGCCCCCCACCCCCACCGTTCACTCTAACTGCAAATCAGAAATGACCGGTTGAATAAACGATCGCGAGCTTTTAGCGTTAGCTCGCACTAACAAGATGCCTGCACTGCAGGCTAGACTATCACAGGTAACCCAAATTAATTCACAGTATGCAAGTGTATGTCAGGAGCCCATCCTCCTGTGCATGTGTATATATACATAAAAACGTAACGACTGAGGGATTTTGAATCGGAATTTCAAAAATGTTAAAAGTTTATTCATATGATAACGACTTGGATTTACTAAAGAGAGAAGTTAACTTCTCTGATTATGTTTTCTGGTAATTTGGGTTACTTTTGTGATCCTATCGTTCCGAAAACTTATCTTCCCATACAGTGAAAAGGAGAATACATAGCCAATGTAAAAGCACTTGATTTGAGAAATTTCCTCAGAAACTTCAAATATCTAATAAATCCCATAAATCTCGAGGTTACGTAATACCCTTACTCCAACACAGGTGTCTAAACTCGTGAAACATCAAGCGTCCTCTTGTACATCCTTAGTCCAAAGTACATAATGGCCTCACATGTCAATCGATGCCTCATTCATTCTTCGCACGTGAACAGATTAAATTGACCAATCAGAAACGTGGAAATAGCTTTTCATTTAACTACGTCACCCCTAGGGATCAAAACAAACGTGGAGTAAATACATAGTAGTCGCGTGTTCGGACTTTGGTATCTTAGTGAGCGGGTTGAGAATTTGTACGTGAGCGCTATTTGGAGGGAAAATCAATTTGTAATGGATAATCTGTTGGACGATGTGGTACAGGAGGATACCTACAAGATCCACAACGATTTCTCCAATTTTTTGGATTTAACAAACCGACCGAACATACCGCTTATCGAGGAATACTTTAGCCACCCTAAGGCGCGTCGCGTGCGTGAAAGTAAAACTATCTTGAGTCCAAGTTTGTCTGAATTTAATAAAGGCATCAGGAACGGTCGATATTTATCAAGTGAATATCACAATGAAAGAAGAATACAGAATGCTTTATGGAGAGATTGGTGGCGTCAAACTCGTGCTCCCTTCCACGCTACTGTGAAAGAAATCCCGAAGGGCGAGGACATCGTCGAAGTACGAACCATTGATATACGAGGCAAAGATATTGGCGATTTTCCGACTGAATATACTATTTCAGCGTTAAGACCTCATGAAATTCCTGTGGTAGGAACATACGTTCATAAGGATATCATTCCTGGATTCGCTTATAGAGTTCGCCGAAACGGAACAAGCGATTACTTGTTCGACGGCGAGGCACTAGTATTACGAACCATCGGAAAAGGTTATGGTAAAAGACTGACCTTTCACAGTGATGCTGTTGAAAACGATAATTTCTTCTGGTCGGACAGTAACCCAGATGAAGGCTTTGCCTTCTCAATCCAGGTAATTTTCGATGGTGATAAATTCGACGTTTTGGATTGCCACCGCCGAAGAGTGGCAGAAACTCAGTTGATCACCGTTGGTGATAAACAAGAAATCAAGGAAGTTTCGCTTCGAAAACGCGAGATTAACATGTTCATTTCGGTGAAAATGAAATGTTCTCTCAAATTTGCATCGCTTGACCATGTGCCAGAAAATCTCCGTGGTCAAGTGGTCGATCTAGCAACCTCTGGACTCGCCAGGAGCCAGAAAACCTTGTCCGGCTGGAAAGCAGAAACCGTGGAAATTAGAAATGTGCACATTCCTGATTTGGGGTCTTGTTGCTTTCGTTCTTCCGCTTAAATATTTTAACGATATTTTGATTCGCAAGAGCGAATATCTGGTAAGAAACCGCGACGAGTGATTACATAATATCTACTCAGTAAACCATATTCGCATAGTTTATGCATTAGTTAAGCGAAGTTCCCGCCAAAAAATGGTTAGTGATATCAAAGATTTGCAACGAGGTTAAACTTATTTGAGCAGCTAGGTAGAATTAAGTAAAACTACCAGTTTCAAAAAATTATTGCCCCTCAGTGTCTTGAACGGTTTGTCACTGGGAACCATTTATGTAATCCAAGTTAATCCAAGCAATCCTCTCAAAAGAAACAATTAGTAGCTAAACAAAAGTTTTGAAGAAGTAACCATGGTTACTGTAACTGAAAGTTTTATCTGTTTGCACAGAGTACATATTTGTACAGGATTTAATCCTGATTGTCACCAATTTCCAAATCATTGGCATGGTTATGAATAATTTTGACTTAGAATTCTAAGTTTAAGAGTGGTAGGAAATCAAGCATGGTATTCATGCATATTATTTTTGGCTTACATTTAGTTATATATTTCATTGTTTTGCATAGCAAGGGGACAGTATTTTTCTTTGAATATGTCATCAAAAAGCAGAGTTCGTTATATTTAACTATTTAATATCTAAGGAAGTATTGTGGTTATTTAAGACTGAATCCACTTTTAAAAATGAAATAGCCATTTTAAAAAAATTATTTTGTAAATTCTATTTATTTGCAAGATTTTCCTATGGTGGCTGATGTTAGTTTTTTATATCACATTTTGTGGGCATTGTGGTCTCATAGAAACTTCCAATACCCATGAAGTCCTTAAGCTCCCAGTAAAAGCTTTTTTTTCTTAAGTTAAGGATATTAGAGTTACCATCTCCTAAACTTGGAATATTCCCTCAAAGCCACTGATGAGAAATATAACAATGAGAAGAATTTCTTTTTTCTTGTGGTAATTAAATTAATTTAAACTGTAGATCATATTGTAAGAAGAGTTGTATAAGTTATTTGTAGTATTGAAAGAATAAATTATTTCTTGAGTGCATCCTTTTCTGATTGTTCAATTTTGAAGGAGTGGGTACACACAATGGTTGATAGAGAATAATTGTTTGAAGAAGAAATATAATTTTTCTTAAAGCATAATGTGGGTCACTTTTAAATCTGTGCTATTAGCTAAAGCTAAGGGCAAAGAGGGATACAATACTTAAAAGACTAGCTGAAAATTACAACTTGGTTTTGATTTTATTGTTGCATGAGTGTGTGATTAAATCTCATGCGTTGAAATAGTGATAAGGCATGGCTTGTTGGCAATAGATCAGAGAAAATTCCTTTCATGACAGGAACTTGAATATCTGAGGCAATTAAAAAGAATTATAATGGGGCTTGAATAGAAAATGCACTGAAATGCCATTTTTGATGAAATCAGATTTTTTTTGGCCTTTGCTGCCCACTACTGTCAAGAGCCAAGTTGAGTGATCCCATTGCATGTTATTGACACAGGCTGGTAAGTTAGGCTTGTCCTCTGTACTAAGAAGTGGCAAACGGTCCAACTTGTTGGGTTAAATGAAATTACATACCTCAATATCTCTCGTCACTGCCACTGTCTTTGTTTTCTTCATCTGCCCCTGTTATGATCTCCCCCGGGACAAAAATATATTCTCCCCCTCAAAACATTTATTTGCATATTCTGAAAAAGTAGGTTATATTGTTACAAGTGGGGTGTAATAACATAACCATGAGATGGCAGCAGTTTATCACACCAATTAACACAAAATCAAGATCTTCTAATATCGTGCTGTATCAAACACTGTGGGAACAAATGTTTATGCTAGGAAGCGTTGAAACATCTCTGCAGCTCTTAACTTTTTTCTTCTTTATTAAATTCCTCATGCATTTTACAACTTTTACATTGGTTAAATTACTTTTGCGATACTGACATTTAATTCACAACTACAATTCCAACGATTATATATTTACAAGATTAAAAATTTACGCGCGCTGCTCATTTTAGTTAAGAATTTATTTATAGTTCACAATACTGACACAACCTCACTAACGGTATTATGAATCATTCACTCTTTCCACTCGGAAACGTAATTTTTTTTAAAAGCGAAGAAACTAGTAAAATAAAAAAAACAAAAACAAAAACAAAAAAAAAGTTGCCATCAAAAAGCACCTACAGCTGTACTACAGTCTCACCTGTATTGAGCAGCGGATGATTACTTAACACAGGTTGACCTTTTCACACAGGCTTCGCTGAATAGAGGTAAATGCCATTTTATGCTATAATTGACCACTACTAATATTAATTTCGGAAAATAAACATGGATTAAATTTTACTTGAAAGATAATTCTTAGCTTTATTTGAGTGGTTCCGCTTTTAGTGATCGTTCTTTACAGGTGAAAACAATCCAAACAGGCCGTTACAGTAATCAAAGGAACAACATTTTGGGACTTTGAAAACCTACCGCTATAAAAGGTGACCACTTAATACATGTTCGACTTTACTTTTTTTCTGCACTATCAATAATACAGTTCTATCGACGCAAATATATGCTAACAGCCCTAAAAGAATTGATGGTACTTCAGTTCCGACACCAAAAAGTTAAGCTGCGCACCTAAAAGTGCTGAAAAAATCTGTAATGCATTTGTAATGCACAGTCTTCTAAGATTTTCCCACTGTTATAATTTTTAAGAGTTAGGATTGTTTACTTAATTAAAGTAGTTGAAAGTTAGTCATTTATTGATCATTTTTGATATCGTGAACTAATTTATTTGTTCGTTATCTTCTTTCACTTTTCTTGGCATATCAGCATTTACTGCTAGGGGACTAATTAGCTTCATCAAGCCGAGTTGAAATTAAGTTACCTATAATTCAACTTTCATACACTGAAAGAATTCCGATTTTCTGATTGGTTGATTTGTACCACGTGATACTGGGTTGTGACGAAAGAACCTCCTTGAGGTCGTTATCGTGATGAAATAGCCGTGGTGTAAATTCAACACACCACTGTCATTACACCATTTATAAATACCAAGAAAGCAACTGCTTGGGGAATATCTGTTTTTGAAGGTGTTTTTGCGTGTTGTTTTGTGGTTTCAATCCAGTGTTTCTTTGTGCAGTTACAATTTAAGTAATAAAAATGTTAACGCACTCATTGCTTGTGAATTTTGGGGATTTATCTGTTCTCGTTCACACACAATGAACTCGAAATTTTCAGTACAGCACTCGGCAAAGTTTGTATTGAAATTTCTCGTTCATTGTTAATGAACTCGTGCAGGTAAATCCCCATAATTCACTCGCTGAGTGCGTTAACCTGTAATTAATTACCTACTTTACATACTTACTATGTAGCCATAACTTCAGTGCAAATTTCCACCGTTATACTAGGTTATTTTGGTCGATCCTTGAGTTCTAAATGATACTAATATTGTCACTGCTAACATGCTGCAATTTTCGCTCATTTAAATCAAATAAAAATGAACAACTAATCTGTTTCTTCTGTTTTCTTCTACTTTGGTTACTTGATGGCTCTGGATGTTTTTATAATATCTCCCGTTTTCAGTATTGGCAAAAGTGATGGGAGAGGGGTGGGTGGGGCACTCAAGTCCTTGCGTTATCCTATTTCTAGTGCAGAATTTGCTGTTGACCTCCTTCTCGGGAGCAAAAATCAAACTCGTTCGGATCAGTGTCGATTATTTAGAGCCGCCCATCCAGAATTCCGTTGTAGAGGTAAGCGAGGACGAGCAACGGAAAGCTGAGTTAACATGACCATATTCACCAAAGTTGTCTTCATCCACTATTCCCCCTGGCCTCCCGTCAAAATCACACTCTGCTGGCTGCCACCAACTGTCGATATGGTAACCAAAACTTGGACCGTAAGGAGAGTAAGCCGTACAATTTCTGCACATGTTTCCACGGATGTTAACAAACTCGTACAACGCACAACGAGCATTTATGTCAGGCACAGCGAAAAAGTCGTTTTCAGCGAATGACGCGCGAATGTAATCACGAAAGTTGATTTTATCGGTCAAGAAATTACATGTGGCACGCCAGTGAGAGGAAACATTCCGGATGGACTGCATACGGGACTTTGAAAGGCGGTAACTGTTCCATTCAGGCGTGTCTTCGTTGGTTGGAACGTTGTGCAGATAGAATGCTTTTCCATTGAAGAGGTCCTTGTTTTGCAAAGAGTGGGACTGGATCAGAGTCCATGCAAAACCTGGCTCTGAATGAAAGTCGCAATAAACTGGGAGGGAGTTGTTGAATTGGTCCACGATGTTGAAAATTCCATTTGAAGATGTTTTGTTAAGAATCATGATTTCTTGGCATGACCGTGGAGGTAGAGGGTATTGACATCTGTGTCCTGTAAAGACTCGGGGACAATCGCACTCAAATCTTCTTTTGTTCACTTGACATATGCTACGACACGTGCCTCCATTTTGGCAGGGGGCGGAGTCACAGCAATGACTTTGGCAAGTTGGATCAGAGCAAGTTTGTTGGGGAACTCCCTACAAAATAAATTGACGTTGAATTACGTGTTTCATTTTACCACTCGAACTAGAAAGGTAGCTGAAATTCGATATAGTTGCCTATAGATAGCTAAAGACACAAAACTCGCTGTAAAGATAAAAGGAGTAGACTCCGTTTTTCCGCATAACAATTAGTTCGACTCCAGTGTAAAGTTGCGATCTAGGGGCAAATAGTTACTTTGAAAAGTGCAAAATTGTGATCTTACAACATTCTTCTACGATGTTGAAAGCACCTTTGCTGTTTCTTTTAAGACCCCGTTTTCCATGGATTAGGCACGCTCGTGACATTTTCCTAATTACATTCTTCCGTGGCTAACAACGCCTCATTGTCTCGGTCTCTTGTTTGTATTACTGTTACTCAATAATTCATGATGTTTTCACTTTCCTCTTATGGGGGGCTTTTAAAATAACCATCAAAAATTGATTAGCAAATCAGCTTACTTACGTAATCTAAGTTCGGCCGCGGTTTTCGAGAAAAGCCGTTCTTTAAAATAATATTGCTTTCCCTCTTTTCTGTTATTCGATATAAAAGTGCTTGAGTAAAAACACAGTCGCAACCGTCGGCGATACTTCAAAGATGAGACTAGCCTAGGGCAATTATGAGAAAAAAAAAATTCTCATTCCTACGCGGTAAGGCTATTTTTCTTTTTTTCAGTGAATCCTTTTATGACTTAGTGTAAAAAAGCATAATGTTATGTTGATGTTATTAGAACAAAGAAAATTCCTCACATTTTTGTCGTAATAATTTCTCACTGGCTCGTAATAATTGATCCCTTCCTTTTCATTAAGTGCTTCTGCTGCCAGTTTACTGTTAGCATCGTTCAGCTCACAATTTTGTGTTGTGTTCACCCACTTGAAGTTAAACGAGAGACACTGACAATTCGCCACGCAAATGTGTAAACATTGCTGCCAGCTCGCGATGCTCAATCTTTCAAAGACATAACCAACAAGAGACGAGTTGTATCTTAAGTCGGTGGCCGGGGAAAAAGACACCTTTTCACACATTCCGTGAATACACTGACTGCTCGAGGTATGAATAACGAAGATCAGTGCAAAGATGAGCTGCCCAGTGACAGGGTGCCTGAAATAATCCATTAAGGCGTGCACCTTTCAGAGTTTTGCTAAGCTTGCTCAAACGAGTTCAGATGGCAGAAGTTCCCCTTTCATCAGTCACCTACTGAAATGTTGCGGCGCTTAATTGGAGAATACGCCTTTATACAGAAATTTGCTACTAGGTTTGTTTTATGTTTGCATTTACGCTGCTAGAGGCATTTTTATTATTGATAATGACAATGATCTCTAAATTGGATGTCAAGTGGAGATGAAAGAAACGTACGTCTTTCTCTATTGTAATACAGAGCTTTTACTCTACCGTCTTTCTCGAACTGTTTACATAAAATTATATTCTCAAGAAGTATAAACACTGTTACGTAACTGTAACTCAAATCACTTATCAAAAGTCTTAGTTACTTTTGCTAATTTTTGTCTGATTACTCTTTTTCTGAGACCGCGTTATTATATATTTTTTCTCTTGGTTTTGATCGGCCACCCCCACTCTATTAAATACGTATCCAGAAAAGAATAGCTTCACCTGAATCGAAAAATCCAAGCCCACTACTACATCAAAACTGCTATTTCACAGTGGGAGGTAACTGTAAAATTCATGCACGTTTTCTACTTTTTTTTACGAACTGATTCCAAAAACAATTTATGAGATCAGTCCATTCAGAAAACTCACCAACTGGGATTAGGGGCCATAAAAAACAAAACCTTGTGTCACGGGGATCGGACTCAAGCGTGTCAGATCATCAACTAACAGTAAGTGACGAAAACAAACATGGAAAGATGAAAAGACAAATATGCGAAGTATAAAAAAAAAGCAGAATAAAAGAAGCAAAAATAACAAAAACAGCACATTTCAGTTGTTTTCCACTTGAAATCATTTTGACGTCCCCACTTGTCAGACAACATCGTCGTGGACTTAAATCTCTTTCTGAATGGCAAGGAAATAGAAGGATTGGGTCTCGAAATTTGTCAAATGTGGACTGCATGGGATCAGTCCGAATATTCAAACCGGAAAGAATGTGATAGATAAGGATTGGAAAGTGGACACAGCTTTGGAGAATGCCAAAAAACATAAGAGAATTAGATTTGAACGAGGCACAATAAAAAGAGTGAAACCGCTATGAGAACGAAATAAACAAATTAAGAAGTCAGATCATTAACTCAATGAAAAAAAAAATAGTAGACATCTGTCGATCGATCAATCAATCAATGGCCTGTGTGCAGCCGCCCCCCTACCCTCCAAAGATGATCGATTCTCTTTTGGAGGGTAGGGGGTGGCAGACAGATCATTTTACACCCTGTGAAACTTGAAAATGAAACGATGGAAATCCGACCTTGAATCGAAGGAAAACCTCATGGAAGCTTCTCGATCATGATAAAATGCCTTTGCACATTATTTTGTTATAAACTCTCTGTTCTTTTGAGGTTGAGTTGGACCGGCGGAAAACGCAGGTAGGTGTACTGCTCTAGATCCTTTTTGGACGTAAATCTCTGGAGTGAGAACTGATTCACGCCTCTCGTTTGCATTTTCATTGAGCATTTTACTTTTTTATTTTAGTACGTGATACACTCTAACGAGGGAGTATCATTCTCTTAACTCTATATGCACCTGACCCGAATTATGCAAATATATCACAAATAACCAATCGATTGTTATTTAGTAATCTCGCACCAGTCTCCTCAAGCTCTGGGGCCTTGTAGAAGGCACTGGGGATGAAAGTGACACAAAACTGTTGGCGAGGGCACTTGTCTATGTGGAGGAGAGCTCTTTATTCGATGTCTAAGAAGGTTTGTTTGTTCATAAAACTATATATCACATTGATTTATCCCAATTACTTTTACTCTTTTCACAAGGGTTGAAGGTCCCGCAATATTTTGAAATATAACTTTTGATCGAGAGGTTTTCAGCGCTGGCACAATACAATGCAATGTGTTCATCAGTCAAAAGTATGTTCTGTAAGTGGTTTTTCTTATAATTGAAGTTTTAGGGTAATCATAAATAGCAAGCATGAATAGAAACTGTTATGAAAAAACTCCTCTCCATGAAAACTTTTCCATCGCGGGAAAATGTAGCACTCTCTAGGAGTTACATATTTATTATTTAGTAATAAAAACAATAATGAAATGCCAAGTGAACTTTCGCGCGAAAAGCATGATATCTTCACACGTGAAATGCTTGTTAACTTCACAAGTGAAAAGATCACTTTTTCTTTGGTTACATTCAAAAATCGCGCTTATCATTGTATATCATGTATATAATTGTTTTATATTTCATTGGTGTTACACAATAAATAGTATATTACATGGCCGCTGGGAGATGCGAAATTCCTCCTCTCCTGTTGAGAAGAACTTTACTCATGCGCTTCGCTTACTTGTGAAATATTTTTCAACACTCGAAGAGAAATCTCGTAGCTCTGTGCAGCCATGTTATATCCTCTATTTACTAATTGATTGCAGTAAATAACAATTTTGAACCTTGGGTCTGCTGTAGGTGGGGAGGAAAGAGGTGTGCGCTGGTTTTGTCTATACATTTGTACATCTTTAAATTGCGGCCAAAAAAAAATAAAAGAGCAATTCCAAACACCCATAATTACTGGAAGTTGCTGACTTATATCTAATCAGTGACTGAAAAATACCAAAAATTAATGAACAACAAGATGATTCATAAATTATAAAGTTTTACAGTTGAATTCAGTGTTCTGAGGAAGGGTTTTCAGTAAAATTGGCTCAGTCATTAATTTGAATTGAAACAGTCATGGATTCTAACTTAGTAATTACTCAACTGATTTTCCCGATAAACACAAATTGATATACAGTAAATGGTTTGAACCCGGTGGTAACATGTGATAGTGTAGTTTGATTGTCCGGGTGAGTGTAGTCCTGAGAAGGACTGTTGTCGGTTGCTCCGACTGCCACGCCTCCTACATCGGTGAGACTGGCAGAAACCTCGCAACTAGACTGACTGACAAACGAGCGACGAGGAAAGGGGATGTGAACAATCACATTGCTGAACATCACTGACTTACGAACCACACTATTGACTGGGACTCTGTGCAATGCCTAACCTACAGCACCAACTACTTTCAACAACTGACCCTGGAAAGCTGGTTTACTAACTTGGAACAGACTCCCCTCAACAGGTGTCAACTAGTACCGGCACCATACAAACGACTCATCCACGACATTAACATTACAAATGAACCAAACAGAACAACCTAACTTCACTTTAACGGATTCAAACCGACCAATCACGACTGACCTTCGCCACTTGAGTCTTACAGCCAATAACATCACGGCAAAACTGACCAATCAGTGTACACAAACCGGACTAAGTACATTCGACTGTCAACAACCTTTCACTTGACTCTGATGATGACTTCGGCTCAGGTTGTCGAAACATCAGTCACCACTACCGACAACAGTCCTTCTCAGGACTACACTCACCCGGACGATCAAACTACACTATCACATATTGATATATGGTGGAGTTGTCTAGCCTGAAGCCTCATCTGTTAGCACCTGCAACAAAAATTGCATGAATGAACCTTTTTTTTTTCTGAAGTGGTTTTGCCTTAAAGGTTAGCTGCCAATACATACCTTAGCCTGTTAAGTAAAAGTCAATTTTTGTGCACCATGGTCAGTTTAATCCACAAATTTGTCTGGGGTAGCATAGAGGAATCATGATCCATTTCCTATACAATTTTTTAGAGGAAGTTATGTGAAATGTTTACTTTAAACAGTATTTCACACATCACCTCACATGTCACTTCAAAAATCACTTCACACTCCACTTCACACATCACTTCACATGTCACTTCACACATCACTTTACCTCATCTCATGCATCAGATATTATTTTTGGTCTTAATCATGTTTCTGTTACAAACCCTTAATCGCCCTCTGAGTCAATATACCCCTTACTGAAATCACTTCATTTTGCAAAAGATTTATGTCTTTTAAATTATGAAATTGATGGTGAAAACCCTGTGCATGGAAATGTAAAGAAAAACCATTTGAGAGTTTAGCGTATTGTTGTACCTGGATCTCACTTTCTTCTCACATTGCTTATATTTTACCCAACAATTTGACCTTGTGCAAGAACTTTCTGGATGCTTTGACTTCTTTTTCTGGAGTAAGCTGACTCAGAATGAACTATTATTGGAATGAGGTTACCAGATACTGTCTCAAAGTGTTTTTTTTTGTCTGTGATTTTTTTAATAAAACTTCCTCCTCTTGTAGGCTGGTGAACAGTGTAAACTTTTGGCCATTTTTGACTTTGATCATACCCTTGTGGATGGCAACACAGACACATGGATAACAAAAATGCTTCCTTCAACCATGCAGATTATCCGAGAACATCAACAGAATGGTTGGTGTTGGACTAATATCATGGACAAGGTCTTTGGAATTCTCCATGAAGGAAATATAAGCAAGGATGACTATGTGAGGTGTTTTGAATCTCTACAATTCACAGAAGGAATGAAGGATGTTTGTCACTTTCTGCAGAGCCAAAAAATACCAACAATAATTATTTCTGACTCAAACAGTTACTTTATTGATCACTTACTGGAGCGTGACTCTCTGCAAAATGCTTTCTGTGGCACTTATACAAATCCAGCAGTGTGGTGCAGCAATGGACGTTTAAATGTCAAGCATCATCATGAACATTACTGTAACCAATGTCCACAGAATCTCTGCAAACGGAAGGTTGTTAACAAGCATCTGGCTGAGCAAAATCTAAGTTATGAGCATATTGTTTATATTGGAGATGGGCACGGAGATCTCTGTCCCTGTCTGGCATTGAAGAAAGGAGATTACATTCTAGCAAGAAAAGGATATAAACTTTTAAAATGTTTGCAAGGTGAAAACCAGTCAGAAGCTAAAGCAGAAGTTGTTCCATGGGAAAATGGCTTTGATGTTTTGAAAATGTTTCAAAAGTTATGTGAAACTTAAATGTTATTTTTGCAATTTCAATTTTTTAAAACTTAATCACTTTGTCCCATTTTCTACCCTTGTACTTTTTATAATAAGCCTCTCCACTTTTGATAGGCCAAATGTTTTTCATTCATGAATTAATATGCAAGTCTCATAGAATAATAGATAAGGTAGGGAATTCCTGAGTTGTATTTAATTGTGTTCAAATTATGTATGTGTAAATCTTATCTTTTTGGCAAGTTGATTGAGCTCAAAACTTTGATAATCTTAATGTCAGCTTTTGTGCTACCAGCTAAAAACAACTCTTCTGATTTATTTATAGGTGTTCATAATACCTAAGGAAGCACCAATGTGATCAATATAACTTTGTTTAATCAAATATTCATTTCAATATTTTAAGGCACTATATAGCTTATAGTACATGTTTTGCTTCAATTTTATCCTTGGTTCAAATTTTCTTTTCTTTTGTTTTTGGGTATTGTAATGTATGATAATGAGTTTGAAACAAAGGAAAATAAAATTTGAACCAAGGATGAAATTGAACCACAACATATACATCTAATTCATTAAAAAACAAAATTGAACACAAATTACTCATCATCTACCCTAGGCCTCATGGATATTTGCCCTGGATTAATTCTGAGTTAATTATTATTTATATTAAGATGGATCTGATTTTATTTCTTATTTTTAATCATGTGACATGCTATTGTGTGTCCAAATGGAGAGCTGCTATTTGGGATTTAACAGTAACATTAGTTAACATTATTCCAGTTTCTTGAACCTCACAATTAAAGGGTTCTATTTTTAATTACCACTGAAAATTGTGAATTTTTATTCAGTTACTATGGAACAATTCTACAAGAAGAATTATCTTTATCTTCTTTTTTGAGTGACCACTAATGTCTCCCAAAAACATCAAATAATTACTGAGTCAGTAATTATTTGATGTTTTTAATCTGTTTCTTAACCATAAGTGACTGAGACAATTTCTCTCTAAAATCAAGCTGACAATGGATGACAATAAAGAAAAATATAAATTTGGGGATCATCTGTTGATTCAAATTTATACCAAATTCTTAGAACTTACATCATGAAAATTGTATGGCAAACAATAAAGAGAACTACTAATGAGATATTATAAGGTTAAATCCAAATCCAGTTGATAACCTCAGGGTAATTTTTCTTTATGTCAACTTTCTTTAAAAGCAATCTGACTTAATCTCCCTGCTCCTATAAGTACTGAGAGGTCCTGCTGAGAAGTTTGTATATCTATTTAATAATATTCTATTTTTGGTTATTCAAGAATTAGAGAGAAAAAGGGAGACCAAATTCATATTGACATTGAAAGGGCTTTTAAGTACAACCAATATTTGTAGGAGAACAAAAGTTTTTCTTCTAGAACTTTCCTTAAGTAAAGAAATTGAGAAGGAAATTGCTGAATAATTAGGGGCAAAACATCAGGACATTGTTGTCATGACTATCAGGATCAGTGAAAGAGAATGCTATTGGGTGGTGTTAAACTGTGGTTTTTAATTAGATCAGTGTTCATTTGTTCTGTTGTGTCTTGAATAATGATAATCTTTGAAAGAAAACAGTGAAGCGGATTTTACTACTGTGGGAAAACAGAGCAGTATTGTTTGAATGTTTGCAAAGCTCCTGCGATACCAGTGAAGGGAAATTGTGTGTATCTATGCTAGCAAAACATACACTCTGTAATAAATATAATAACATTTCGTCAGTTGTCACTTAGGTGGTTTGCTTTAGCAGGATTGGTATTTACTCTGGAAGGATGTAAGACTGTCATCTTCCTAGTATAAGTTTATAATGCTAATACCAATTAATGTGCAGCTGTGATTTTGACAGCAGAGATCATTCCATATGCCAAAAATACTTCACATTTTGTCTTTCATTTGGCAGTGGGTTATCTTTCTTACATGAAACATCTATTAAATATTTGAACAAAATGACAACAGTGACCAGCGGCTTATGAAAAATATGCAGTTGTTCTTTGAATTGTATTGTTTCGTTTTGGTTGTTTTGTGTTAAAGAAAAAAAAAGACGGACAAATGAGATCTCGCTTCGGGACTTTGAACTTCAATCCGTTATTTAACGCCCGTTGCCTTATTGTGCGGCTAATGGCATAATACATTAAAGCCTTTGATATGGAAATTTAAGGCTGCGAGCCAAATAATGAAAGTCGAACAATTAAAAAGTTACTGCTTATGATGCAGATCGCTTCACAACGGTTAATTTCAAATTCTATATTAGTGTAAAAAGGGCGATTTCATCGATAAAACTCCAAATTTAGCTGTTATACTTGACCGTTGGTCGGATTAGAGATGTTCATGATTGCGGAAGAATTAAAATTTGTCCTCTTTTCAGAGGGAGTGTGAAAAGCTTGTCAGGGTGCGGAGAATTTTTAAGCTTGATCAATACGAGATTATTCCGTTACATCGTGTAAATTATTCCTTTGAAACTTTAGAAACTACCAATACGGATTTTAAGTTTAAACTTTCATTTAGTCTAGATTTTGAATACATATATTTCTTTTGATGAATAGTAATTTCTGCTTTCGTAATGAGCTGGTGCAACAAGTGCTGATCAAACAAAAGTTTCTCCTGCCCTCAGACAAGTCAAAAGATCATCTGAGTACTGACAAAAATTGCTCGCAGTTTAAAAGAGTAAACGATTGTTGTTCGGTGCGGGTGAAATCCGTGGCATCGTTGACTCGTTAAATTTCGTACAGCGCTGTTTGTAAATCACGAAGAGTTTCCTGCTATACGTTTCATGTCCCTTCGAAGGTAAGCAGTTGTATATATCGATTCTAGGATCGTTTGTGGTGGACTGATAACGTTCGCATTGCTTAATTTCTTTCATCTCCAAGCGCCCGCGACGTGTTATTTTGCAAGCTAGCGTTCAAATTTCAGTGGTACAAGTAATGCAATGACAGTCCTCTTGTCTGCTGGAAATGTGCGAAGAATGTGTTGCAAGCTCGTGCTAATGAGTGGATTAATAGCGTTTCGTCTATAAGCTAATGTCGCCAAGTTCAGTTCTAACGTCAGGGTGGTACGAACCTTCTTCCATCGGCTTGAGGTTTCTTTGTGCGGATTCGTAGACAACGTGATATGAATAATTATTGAAATGGTTTCCTTCAATTCTGTTCATTTTAATGATAGAGAAAATGCTATTAACGAAGATAAGAACTTAAACTTCTCTTAATGTGTGGAAACCCATACCGATGAATATATTACGTGCTTCCTGTCGGCGCGTGGAGATAGTTTACACTGAATCGTTCAAACTCTGAATATGATTAGATATTCCGCGCTCACGTTGTTCAGGGACAGCCGAAATGTTGCCTGAGTTGTAATTACATTACTTTTCTCAAATCTGAGGGATATTCATGGCGACCCGTCGCGTTTAATACTAAGTGAGACCGATCGCTGAATCGCAGAGAGGTTGTTTATATTGTAAAGTACCTTTGTTGCCCTTTTAGTGGTTGTGATATTGGCTGGCAATGGCATGAAACATGCTTCTCCGTTTATTGTCGCCACGCTGAGTTTCTTTCTTTTAATTGAATCGATCAAACGTTTGCACCTAGGAGTTTGATGGTTTATTTTCCATGGCGGTCTCGCTGAAACATTTCTCGTTCGGCAAGAAGCCAAGAAAATCCAGCTTGTTTTTTTGCGGAAAACCATTTTAGTTGTTTGTTCAGAGGAAAGTTATTTCTTGCGATTTCCGCTGATTGATACTTCAGTCGTAGAATTTTCTTCGTTTGCGTTCGGAATTAATCGCCTCATTATTGTGACTCGTTATTTTTTTTTTCATCTCCAATATTTGGGCGGCATATTTTCTGATGTTACTGTTTGTTTTTTATATTTCATATGTTTGTACTTAAAATCTACCATGCTAGAATTTTCTTGAATAACGTGGAGATAAAATTTTAAAAAATGAGCAACTTTTTTTGGTCAGAAGCTTTCTCACCATTGTCTAAAATTATTTGTTAAATACAATTATTCAGCAAACCTTTTATTTAGTGGCCCTAGATGACGTTCCCGCGAAATAAATTGTTACTTATATTTTGCAGCTTTATTTTGTCTGCTAAGATTAAAATTAATTGGAAGCGCATATTTAAGTTCTAGAAATATCCATTCCACTCCTTGTCTGATAAAAACAGGTTATTTGAACTTTCTATCCTGATGTAGAGAACAATTTGCTATTTTGGATTCCATTTTCTTGTGCCTGCTGTAGCATAGCATGTCCCTAGTAATGCAGGCAATATTTAAACACCTGAGAATGCTAATGAAAATTGAGTAAGGTAGTTGAGACTCACCTAGGCATGATGATTTAATGAAAATGATTTGAAATGTAAGATCAAAAAGATACAGAAGCTTATAATTACATGCATACTTATTATGCTTGATATGCAAGCATATTAAAATTTTTTTTTGAATAAACTAAATGACATTTATAAAAAATAAGTACCTGTTAGTAAAGTTGAAGGTTTCATAAGTTTTCATTGCATTAAATTATAGAAAGTTATCTTCAAATGGAATTTTAAGTTTGGTAGCCTATATGATTGTTGAATGATCTGTAGAAGTTATTCTTGAACACAACAGGAAAGCCATATTTTTTAAAAAATATCACACATTCCGAAGGTGATGGTAAAAGGTGAACAAGATTATTATTTTAAGACATAAATCTACATTACTAAATACAAGTCTTCAGATAATTATCTATATTCAGACATTTTTTTCTCTGTTCTGTAATGTTTTGACGAGGACTGAAATAACAGATTCAGTGATATGAGAGGGATATCAGTGTCATTAAACATTATTGAGTTTTAAATTAATTTTTGAGGTGAAAATTAGTGGGCCAGTGAGCCAGTCAGATTCATTTCTAGTCAAGTGGTATGATAAAGAACACAAATGTATTGCTTTGGGAGAACTAAGATTTAATTAATTAAGCAAAGGATAGTAAGAGTAGTACTTTATTATAGAGAGGTCATGTTTTTACATGCATGGCCTATCAAGCTTATACTTATGATTATTAAAGAGCCTTTTAGATAGCAATCTGTTTTGAAGTAGACAGCATGTCTGAGAAGAAGAGTGTTGTTAATTAAATATGAATCCTGCCATCTCTCGAGTTGTCTTGTTTTTACGGAGTCCTTATTTGCATCAGAAAAGCTGTATTTTGTATTCTTGGCAAAAAATCCTCCATGGAATAATAACAGATTTTCTCAGTAAATGTAGGTTACATTTTTATCTTTAGCAACCTCAAAATTTTTTCTTTTCATCGCAGTATTTATGGAAGGTGTTTTTATGCGTAATTAATATATTTTTTACACAATGAAAAGGCAGTGAATCATAGAATACTTGTTCAATGTGCAGTTTGTAATTCATATGAGTTTGTTAAAGTGTTTAACTGGCATCATGCTTCTAAACTTTGTTGTCACTTAAGCAGTACAGTGGCTTGCAACTTTTATAACCTTTTGACAAGGGGCTGCAGTTATTGAAGAAGAGAAAATTTCAAACACCACTTGCCAATAATATCTTGATATTTCTGCAAATAAAGATATTACAATTCAACTCCGAAGATAGCTTTTGTTTGAAAGTGTTTCATCAGATAGATCCTCTGAAAATTTAAATTGCAGTATGTAATGCATAGATTTGGTTTGGAAAGGAAAGAGATGTCATTCCAGAATGTGTAAATATTTTTAAATTGACTATGAAATCAATATTTGCATTTGGAGTGTAGTAGGAATCCTTAATTATAAAGTAAACATTATTATTATTATTATTATCATCATTTTCGTAATCATTTAACTCAAAGGTCATAAGAAGATACTAAGAAAGATGCTTAAAGTGTGCATCATATTCTCAATTTTACAGATGAGTCCTGCAACATATGCAGTGCTGCTATTTCTTATGGCAGCAGTGTCTGGTGTAAGAGGAATAAACAGCACAGTAAGCCAAGGTGTAGGAAACAGTAGCTTACAAACCAACCTTAGTACCACGGTGATGCCGATAACACAGGTCTCTACAGATCTGCCAGTCAATGCTACTGATACTACTCCAGGGATAAAGAAGGGAAAATGCTATGACTTTGATGTGTTTGTCCTGAATAACCAACTCAACATACCTTACACTGTCACATGCTGTATTGCTGTCCTCTGTGGATTTTATCTAATTTTATTTGGTGAGATATTCTTCAAACCTTATATTATGTTAGTATTGTAATGATAGGAATAATGATCTACAGTTGATGAATGATTTTAGGTACAAAGATAATTGTACTAAAGTTTTGCATTTAATGGAATGATTTTCACCATCATGGAAGTCCGGAGATAGAAAATTTTGAGATGGATAAAGATGATAACAATTGCATATTTCCAATGTTCCACTTAATGAGGAATATGCAGAGGAAAAATGATACAAGAAATTTAACTATGCAAATCTAAGCTATACAGAGGAACTATCAACAAAAATGTGACTTGGAGAATAAACAATCAGATTTGGGAGTTAAAGGTTAAAGAATGTAATATAAATAGTATTTTATATAATCACTGAGAAAATTGGTGAGTAAGAAAGAAGGAGTTTACCCTACCCAGCATTTCAGTTAAACAAAATACAGTGAACTTACATTACATGATAAAATATTATTCAAGGTCATTTGGACTATTTGTAATTTGGCATTTTCTTCATTGGTAGGTTACAGATTCTTCAAGTGCAGCCTTTTCCTCTTGGGATTCCTACATGCCACCTTTGTCACTTACGTCATCTCTATAAACCATGCTGACCTGCCTATGTGGGGTATTGTTGCTGTCAGTGCAGCTGTTGGAGTATTCTGTGGTCTTTTGACAATGTTCTGCTCATACTGTGGTCTATTCCTGGCAGGATTAGGTCTTGGATTTTTCATTGGTGTAGCCATATTTTTTGTCATCTCAACATTTTACCATGTGACTCTTGTGTGGATACCATTTGGGGTTCTCCTTGGCTTAAGTTTGATCTTCAGTTTATTGACATTAAGATGGCAGAAAGGATTCTTCATTGTGGCAACATCTCTCATCGGTGCTGCACTGATAACAGGTGGTGTGGACTATTTCACTGAAGAGTTTGTGCTTCTCAATTACACCCGACAGCACATCATGGCAGGTGATGTCCAGGTGGAGTGTTGGGTGACGTGGATCATCCTAGCAATATGGCCTGTCATGTTCATCCTTGGAAATGTGGTGCAGTTCTGTAAAACAGGAAGAAGTTTCAGTCACAGGAAAAGTGAGTTTAAAGTCATTACAAGAAATTACTTTTTGATGGAAACAAATAAGGATTTGCTTAGCAAAAATCCCTCAGTTACCCGTGATCTAATATCAAATTTCCCCTCTGATTCACATGCATTTGGAAGGCAAATTAATAGAAGAATCTATCAGTCAATCAAAAGTGGCTCAAAAGTTGGGCTCTTAATCAGTGTTGAAGACACAGTTGAAGTAAAACAATAAAGGACAAAAATACCAATTGAGAGAACAATAAGTTTATGAGCTGGTGTTTTATTGTGACATGTGCTGTGTCTTCTACACCAAGAATGAGCCAAGAGATGTGTTCAGGAATACCTTGAGCACATGATTTATGGGAGGTTACACTTAGGCAATAATAGCTTGTGATAGCCAGCTCCCAGTTGGCTTGTTAGCTCAGTTGGTAGAGTGCTGCACTGGTATCGCAGAAGTCATGGGTTCAAATCCCGTATGGGCCTGAATTTTTTTCAGGTCTTATTTCAACTACTTGTTCAGTAGTGTTCATAGCTGTGAGGATCTCTTATATTCGTTTCTTCACCGCAGTGCACGTATATGATTTTCATATATCCACAATCATTATTCATCACTTGGATGGTTTATTTGGATCTAACATAATGACCAGCTCCCAGTTGGCTCAAAAGCTCAGTTGGTAGAGCACTGCACTGGTATCACAGAGGTCATGGGTTCAAATTCCATATGGGCCTGAATTTTTTTTCAGGTCTTATTTCAACTACTAGTTCAGTAGTGTTCATAGCTGCGAAGATCTCTTATATTCGTTTCTTCACCGCAGTGCACATATATGATTTTCATATATCTACTATCATTATTCATCAGCTTGTGATCTGTTGACTTGCACTAATTGAAGTTTTTGTTATTCATTTTGTAGGATCAGACTCTGTCTCTCTCCAAGGTGAAGATAAAGCCATGAAGAGATACCGCAGCCTCAACATGAATGGCGATGTTGTTGCTAAGGTTAGTGAACAATAGTTATCTCTTTGAAATACCAGTTATACATTAGATATTCTTATAACATTGCTTAACCCTTTAACTCCCAGAAGTGATTAACATAAAACTTCTCCCTACAATATCCATACATTCTTCAGCAAACAGGTAATGAGAATTTTCAAACTTATCAGGTAGAAGCTGCTATCTTGATCTAGCACCAATTTCTCATAACTAATTTACAAGGAAATGTGTAGCAGCTACAGGGGAGAATTATCAATCAGATCTTGGGAGTTAAAGGGTTAAGACGTGTAATCACAACAGACAGTTAAAATAATGTTTTAGCTCCACTCAATTTCAACTCTGCTGTTGATTAACCACAATTCTATCTTCAAACTGCAATTTTGATATTCTCTAGAGGGAGCCTATTATGTAAAAGCCTTGTAGTGTCTCATGGGCTTTCATGTTGCTATCTTCAGTCTTAATTTGCTTTTTCACAATCGCAATTTGATAGTTAAATTTATCATGAAATCAACAAAATAATATTCAAAAATAAATTGAGGGTCTACAGCTGATTGGATGGAGGTGTGAGAATAACAATCACACAAATAATGCTTTGACTTCTTTTGTAGTGATTGAAAATGATTGAAAATTCCCGCTTGACCACTACTGCAGGAAATTAACTAAAGAATTATACTACAGGTGCATTGTCTTTTACAAGAAAATATGGACGTAAGATAGTGTCTTGAGGCACCTGCTAATTCTTGTATGAGCACAGCTTCAACAACTATGAAACACATAGCTTGTTAGCTTGTGGAAAAATTGTGGGTTTAGAAGCTCTCTACCTTTTTTCAGAGATGCTGACCATACATGTATATACAATTGTGTTATATCTAAGCTGCAAATTTTGTAGATGAATTGTTCTTTCCTTACTTCAAATATTTTACCAACTTAACCCAAATTTTTTTGTTGGAAAATATGTTAATTGATCCAAGGATAAAAAATGACTGAATTATAGCAAACAGAAGTTTTCTCAAAATTACTATGAGATGCATCAATAAAATTTGTTCTGCTTTTTTTGTTGCAGTCCTATTATACAAAAGATGAAGATGAAAGACGTCCCACTGAAGTATAATATTTTAACTTCCCAAAAACTCACTTGTGCAGCTGAACTAAGACAAGAAATTTGCAGTCTTCCAAGTTGACCATTGAGTTCTCTGTGCTGAATCTGGAAAGTCTCTCTGCTGATCATGCATTTTTAGTTTTAGGTTCAATGATTTTGGTATTACCTTAAATAACCTGTAGACTGAGTCTTTCAAAGCCTTAAAGTCTTTTCAACCATAACTTTTTTTGTACATGCATAGGTGACTACGATTATGAGACTTAACAGACAGCTCATCAACATTTCGTCAAGCCCCTTGTCTTGGCACAATTTAAGAATTGTTTTGCATTTCCTCTGTTCACTATAAAGCTGTGGATTAGTCACCATAATCTATGTGAACATAAGTAAAAGATGATATAATTCAGTGAATGACACAGGCATTCTCAGGAAAAAAAGCTCTGAGTGCTCCCTATAAGAGCTAAACCTACGACCTTCCTATTATGTAATTTAGAAATGACCATGTTCATTTTACATTATGTGAACATGATGCGTCAATCAACTTAAAGCTTCAAAAACCCCTCCCCCCCTCTCTCTCCAGTAGTGCTCTGGCATTATGGCATTGTAACTCAAAATGTGATGTTAAAGTTTCAAATTGATTGGCACATAAGAAATCCATAGTTTGCAAGATGAAGCATGTGCATTATCATGAAAAAGGTGCCAGGGGGTTCCAAAGTAATTTTATGATTGATAAATGTAAATGTGTGATCATATAGAGATGAGGAGGAAATTTTGATGCTGATAGACATGACAAAAAAAAAAGGATACTTCTAACAGTTCATGTACAGCTTCAAATTTTGTTTACAGTCTAAATTTAAATCTGAAACTATGAGACAAGGTTGTTTGAAAAGGATGTATGTTTGAATCTTACAAGTTTTTTTCCTATAACGAAATCTTTAAACATTATATTATTTTGTCAACCTTGGTAGACAGGTTTCTTTTGATTTTCAACCTCTATAACTTTTATGTGAGATGGTTGACATTCATGAAGGAATTTTGTAGTTTTATTGCAGCCAGGAATGAATTTTATGTAATTTATTTGTTCAACAAACAAACAAACAAAGGAACAGCTAACTATGAGTGAGTATGTACAAGGAGTGTGGCTATTGATATATTTTTTCGTAGCATTATGTATAGAGTTAGATTCATTAAATTGTAGATACATTCCATCAAAGAGTCTGTGGTGATGTGTTTTTTAACCCTTTAACTCCCATCTGTGACCAAGACAGAATTTCTCCTTACAATATCAATACAATATCGAGCAGACAAGTAATGGAAATAAAGAGAAACATCAATTTGGGTATTAAGTTGATCTAATACCAAATCCTCAAATCTAGACTGACGAGAAATACACGGCAGACAGAAGAGAGAATTACCATTAAGATCTTAGCAGTTGAAGGGTTAATATTTGGGCTGTACAATACATAAAAATCGTGAATAATTACCTTCCAACAAATATATAGTCATCCAACAATGTAGAATAATTATTGGATGCTATTTGCATGAATTATGTGTGGGAATAGCAGACAAATTATTGGTGCAAGGTGAAGGCTGAGGCAAATCTTTGATCTGTGAGACTCTGACAAATATAGTTATTTCATATTTGATCGCCTAGCTGTTTTTTTGCAAAATATTCTCTGTCATTTTCCCGAAGGCGAGCATAGCCACAAGGAGGCAAGATGTTACTGTAATATATTGACGTTTAAGGAGGGATCCTCAAGGGTAAAAACGGAAATTAGGATTGGCCATGTTTTTGCTCTGGGAAAATAGGATTTAGGTCTCTGGAATTAGAACACTTACAGGTCGGATGACAGTCATCTTGCGCGGACCAGAGGGATATGAAGTTGCAGGAACTTGCAGCTTTGATAATATTTTCGCTTCCCTGCATGTACGTAAAGGATGTCAATTGCTCATCATAAAACTTTGTTGGGTCGTTTTAAGAATGCGTAATTTTGCGGATGGGAAGAGGAAGGAGATGGGAATGGGAGATGATTCCAGAGAAGTGGCAATATTAATGGCTGGGATACGGATAAGCGGATTACTCTGAGTTGGGATAGTACCTCATGTAACATGTAACTAAAACATTCATATCAACATGGCGGTCAGGTGAATTCAGATTCTAATTATAGCAGTGTTCGTAATCTTGGGAATACAGTGTCGCTGACTTCTGCAACAAAGATCAGAGAAAATGGAGGTAGAGGGAGCTGCTAAAGTGAAATCCTATCACGATGAGGCTTTTCGGTAAGATCCTTAAGGCTGTAAATGCTTCAGACGTATTTTGACATACTCCAAAATTACATAGCTTGAATCACCGTTGTCGAAACAAGGAAACTGATTTATCGGCGACGTTTAGTTGATTAGGTTGAAAACATTTGTGTCAAGTGTTGTCATGAAGCTTTCTTCAACCACTGCAGGTCGAAGATATGAATGGACACATCAAGTTAAGCAAATATTTATGAACGCTGGTATAATTACTTAGAGCATGTATTAATATTCCCAGAAAGATATATGTTCATCTAACCTACAAACAGGTGACAAGTTTTTTTGTTGTTTTTTTATCATTTACGAAAAAAATGTCCAATATTTAGATATCTTAATAATTATAAAATTTTATTCCTGAATGTATCGATTTTAAGATCCACCAGTGCGTTTCATTTACCCACATCATTTTTCGGACTTCAGACTCCTTTAACTCAGCTCAGTTTACACAAAATACATTAGAAAAGAATCATTTCAAAGCAAACATGGAAAATATATATAAAATAAAATCTAGGTAGAGAGCGAGTTGGGTTCATTCAGATAGCAAAGGCTTATCTCTTGTATCTTATGGGATTTAGCTTCAGAGAAAAGAAAACTCAACACTTACATATTTATCACTTATGAATCTTTTGTGAAAATAGTTACATCAATGAGGGGCTCAAATTTGATGAACAAGGAAACAAGCAGAAAGCTCTCCAGTATTATCATAAAGGTAAGCACTGCATGTTTCATTATGGCAAACATGTTTGACACAATTTCAGGTTTTCTGTGTCATTATTTAAGGTTCTGTTTTTGGGAAGTACATGTACTTAACGATTCTATAGACAATGAACCTGAGAAGAGGAGTAAGAGGAGGGATGATTATAACCTTGCTGTCCTGTAAACCCTAGCAACTTGCCTATCACTCTAACCATAGTGGTTTGTTCTTGTTCTGTACTACATATGCTTGATTGTAAAGATAGATTGAGTTTTTGTTTTATTGAAAAAGAAAACCCTATATTAAGGTATGGAGTGGTATGTTTCAATCAGATCGCTGCATTTGGTTATGTATCTCACACCAATCAGATCTATGCTGTAGGGTATGTTTCATGCACCAATCAAATGGCCGTAATAGGGTATATATCTCACACCAATCAAATTAAAGCATTGAGGGATGCTTGCACCAAGTTGCAGTAGAATCAACTCAACATTGATGCACACTAAGAATGACAACAACAAAGAATTGTGAGCTCATCTATCCAGTAAATGGAAAACATGACTTGCATGTCTTTTATTTCAGGACTGCGGAGTCTTACTGTGGGTTTAAGTGTCCATTGTAGTAGTTCAGAACCAGGAAGGGAAAGGACAAAAGAACTAAAGAAGAAGATGAAGTCGTAAGTTCTTTAATTAAAGTAAATTCAAAGAAAAAATTAACAGCTCTCGTAGCTTTATTGGGTAGAAGATGGTAAAAACAAAGAAAACATATAATGATATTAAATGACTCCTTTAGCTTTATTGTGCTACAAACACAATTGGCTTTCTTTTTCAGCTCTCGAAATAAACAGGTCATTCTTGATTCTTTCTGAAGTGAATATGTTGGTCACTATGTTGGTTCCAAATGATGAATTTTCATCGGCAGTTCACACATATGATTTTCACATATTCACTGTCATTTATTCATCACTTCACAGGTTTATTTGGGACCAACATAGTGACCAGCTCCCAATTGGCATGATAGCTCAGTTGGTCATGGGTTTATGGGTTTAAATCCCATACAGGGCTGTTTTTTTTTTTCAGGCCTTATTTTCACTACTGCTCAAGTAGTGTTCATTACTGTGAAGATTGCTTTCATATTTATGTCTTTGTCTGCAGTTCATATATAAGATTTTCATATATTCACAGTCATTAATAAATCCTTCATTGACCAATCTTGTCCAGTCAAGATGGCTGGAAATTAGCCTTGTTCCTTTTTTTGCAATTTTATGGACCTTGACTTTGTCCTAGATAGAACTTGGCAAATATTCAGCCATGTTGACCTCATGTTTAGTCAGTAATCCCAATATAAGAGAGATTGACCTTGATCACAGTAAGCACACAAACATTTCAACATGTTCTTTTGCTGGGAGCACATCAACTAATCCTACACAGTGCAGAACGTTGAACAATTGAAAATAAAATGTGCCAGTTAGCAAATGATTGCAAATGCTTGGTTTTGAAAAGTTTCTGTCATCTTTTTTCTATCAGTCTTGAAAATTGACTTGTGCTTACTTACTTATACTAGATTCCACAGAAAATCTTTGCATTACCTTACATTTTTTCAGGGCCAAAGACCAAGTAAAAGAGAGAATAGATACACTATCTGCCAGCATTAATGCACCATCAGCCCCCAGTGAAGATGTGGTGGATACTGTAAATCAAAATGGACATCTTACAACTGAAGACCAACTTGAGATATTATCACATGATGATGGAAATCCATGGGAAGATGTCAAGGAATTGTTGGTTCTGGAAGACAGTAAGTACATGTTAGTAGTATGTGACACTGTAAATTGAAAGTGCTTTCCAAGATGATTTTTTAACTGTCATGACTGTGCAGACTTGAGAGAAAAAGGCAGAAATTGATCTCAATCTAGATTCAATTGTTTAGTGTTAAAGTGAACAGATGTGTCTCATCCACTGAAAATTTTTCTTTTCAACACAGGTGTTAAAATGTTTTTCGTCAGTGAACAAGGAGGTGTCACAACACTCTCTCAACCTCAAACTCTACGTGCCTTTCAGTTTGTCAATCATAAACCAGGTAAATCTAAGTTTAAACGTAATGCATAATACATGTCATCATAATATGACAAATGCTTTCAGTGTCACTGAACAGAGATATAACGCTACATACTTCAGCAATGTAGTTTCACACTTATCACAGTCATGTCCTTTTTCAGAACAGGTTAATGGGTGGAAATCTCATAAGGAGTGATCCTGTGGTCCTCCAGGGTTTTGTTAAAATTTTAATGGCTGGGGCATCCTTATCATAGTAGCCAGGCCAAGTTAATTTAGCCTAGAAGTGAACTCCATGATATCCACCAAGCAGAGGTTCTACAGTAAATAAACAGTTCATGAAGAAAACAGAACTGTCTTGAAGCATGGCTCAAGAACCAACCTCTCCACCCCCACTTCCCCAACAATCTGGAGATACAAATGGCTTCCATTGCCTGGATTTTATCTTTGCCCAAGTTTCATTTCACCTCATAAAACATTTGTTGACTTAAATTCAGGTTTTTTTTTGTTTATGGTGCATTCTTTAAATCCTTTCACTGCCTCGCTGTCGATACCATTTGTGATGTATAATTACCTTCTTTGCATTCATCAGATACTAGAAATTTACCTGGTAAGTTTGTGTTATCAACTGAGTTGATAACGTAAATTGGCCACCGTTAAGAGTTTGTAAGCTGACGTTTCGAGCGCTAGCCCTTCGTCATTTGCTCTGACGAAGGTCTAACGCTCGAAACGTCAGCTTTTAATTTCTTTAGTGTGGCAAATTTACGTTATCAACTAAGTTGATAATACCAAATTATCCTGTTATTCTCTCCCACCGACGCAGCATCACAGTTTATTTAGAAACTTACCCCCTTCATTGAATTTTTCCGGTAAATTTTATAGCTTATAATGACTTGCACTATTCTTTCTCGTTTATATCGTATTGCAGAATCAAAGGATGCTCCCGCATTCCTTCATTGCGGAGCCTGGATGTTTCCCATGATTCCTGGTAGATCTCCTGTTCTGAACACGGAACCTCACACGTATATGTTTCCCGACATCACTATCGACCCTTCTTCTCCCAAGTCCTCGCAGCCTCGTCCCCAGCGGGCATTTGCGTCAGTGGGTTTGATTCTGAACCCTAATATTTCCTCTATGGAACTAAAGAGGTTTGAGAGGATTTTGAAGTGTTACGCAGATTTCCATCACTACACTCCGCCAAAGTATTCTGAAGAGGGAAGCCAGGTCGAGCAACAAAGAACGGATGAAGGTGCCTCTTCAGTGCCGGCTGCAGAGGCAGAAGCTATGGATGAGGATGTTGCTGTGGCAGTAAGACCGAGCACTGAGGTTGTACCAGCTGATTCACAGGTGTTTACTATGCGTTACTAACTCTGTTCACAAATAATTTGCTGTATGATTTTCCGTTCTCATACCACGCCAGTTGTGGTGATTTCACGTTGTTGTTTTGCAGAGGACGGCTTAGAAATGTACAAGGTTTCAACACGCATGTACTGAGCTGTTATTCCACCCATTAGATCTTCTATTTTGCTACGGCATCGTCGCCATTGTCGTCGTGGCTTGCTTAAGGTCCCCTATGTGATGTCGTACACTTGAGGCGTAACGTATTTTCTTTTTCTGTGTGTGTTATTTGCTTCTTCAGGACAAGTCATGGGGAAGGAAGGTTTCTAAGGTAAGACGAAATTCTGTTAAGGCATATTCCACTTCTGATCAACTTTTAGCATCATCTGGTTTAAACGACCAGAGCATTATCAATGCGGTCATGTTTACTTCAGATGTCATGTTTTTTTTTGTTATTTCAGGGAATCGAGATTGGCACCGAGCTAGTAGCTTGGGGATTGACAAAAGGGGCTGAAGTCGGAAGTCATCTGATGCACAAGGTAGTGCTGTGTGTCTCATCACATTTCTTTACTCATGCCGCTGTATACAAGGCCAGAGAGCAGGCTCAGCTGCATTTTGCTTCGGAGAAGTTCTTTGGTGTTGTCAGACGTCACGCACTATTAATTAAAAAACAGCTGCACCGGAGATTGTCGTAGCTCAGCATTACCTTTGTTTTCCTGGTGCCCAGCTCGGATTTTGAATATCATATCAACTATAAATTCATGAATCACATTTCATGAAAGCTGTTATCAACAGCCAAATTTACTGAGTTATATCTTCAATTACGTCAGGGTTCTGCCAAACTCAGAGAAAATCTCAAACCAAACGAGAAGCCAGTGGAAGTTGATGAAAGTGTGCAGGAGAACATTCGTCAGGTGAAGACTGTTGCAGGTAAGACATCATTTTAAGCTTTTAAGCTTCCCTCTCAGCAACGGCTCAATCATCTTACAGTTGGACTTTCCCGTTATGATGAAAGAATGCGTTTGGTTTGGCCATACACATGACAGCAAAACGAATTAAAAATCAGGCAAGATAGTGATGTATGTGTTTTTGTTGTTCAGGCATGGCCTGTCAGGTGAGCGGTGCAGTGGTCTCCGCAGTGTCAGCCATGACGCTCGAGCTCGGACGACGACTTGCGCCAGTTATTGTGGATAAAGGAGGAAAGGTTTGTTAAATTTCTTTTATTGGTGATCATTTTCTCTATTCTCCTGACCTTAATGAGTGATTCGGGGTTGATATTGTAAGGAGATTAAGGATGCTAGTCACTCGTTGGGGTCAGAGGGCTAAGAAATCGAAGAGAAACAAATGAATTTGAATTTGTCTCGAGAGTGTTGCAAATGGCTCTTTGCACTTTAGCGTCTAACATTTGCGAGAACGTAATTGAGGAATATTCTGCGTTTAATGTATAATTGACCACGGTTGAACATCTGATATTTTTCGTTTTAGGCTTTACCAGACTCTTTGAAAAAGAAGGATAATGTTGATGGTGCATCGACAATGGACGAAATCGTTAAAGTTGCAGTAAGCGGCGCTAGAGGTATACATGTTCAATTCATCAAGCGTTGGATGTTTTCCTTGAGTAGCATAGTGTTATAACGTCAGACGTGTAAATCAAGTGAGGCCAGATATGCTACGATGATTTAGTTTTCCGAGCTTTCGCTGATCAACGGCATCTTCGGCATCATTAGAGAATCATTCTCTGATGATGCTGTAGATCGGCGAAAGCTCGGAAAATTAAATAATTATAGCATACCTGGCCTCAATTGATTTACACGTATGATTTTATGTTAAATTCGATTGAACAAAAATGTCTCATTTTTAACTGAGCTTTTTGTGCGAAAGGCCGGGGATTTATTTTAAGTGTGCGAATAATTTCTTTTCCAACTTAAGGAAGAGTTCCTTCATGGAGTTTTTCCTCTCTTTTTCTGTTTCTAGATTTAATAATGGTAATAATGAAAACAAATAAATAGAAAGAAAGAAGGAAACCAGCTTGATACACCAGGTTGACTGTAAACGATCTGATGTTTAGAACTTAAAATTTCCAACAGAGTCAGTTGTTTTTTGAAATTTTGTTTTGATTCTTATTCTCAAAGGTGCTGCTACGGTGTACCAAGGTCTTGAGACTTCATGGAAAATTTTGTACACAAATCTGCAGCATGCTACTGTCAAGACAGTAGATTACAAGTGAGCTGGTGCATGTTATGGCTATGAAGTTTGAGAACACCTAATGTTATTCCCGTTTGGTTCTTCTTCTCCTTTTTTCTTTTTTTTCTTTTTTTTTCTTTTTTTTCCTAGTTATCCTCCTTCTCATGCGCGTTCGTCGTCGTTTATTCGTGAATTTGATCTTACTTTTTGTTGGTTATTTTATTGGTTGGATGGTTGGATGGTTGGTTCGCTGTCTCGTTTTATCTCTTTGCCTCTAGTTTCTTAATAAACGACTGTGAATATATGAAAGTTATATATTTGAACTGCCGATAAAGACGTGAATATGAAAGTGATCTTCACAGTTATGAACACTACTTGAGCAGTAGTGAAAATAAGGCCTGAAAAAAAATTTAATATTCACGTAGTTTCTTAATGTTGTTTTTTATGTTTATTTGTTTTGTTTATTTGTTTGTCTGTTGCTTGGTGTATTATTAGGTGTGTTCGTGTATTCACTTGTCTCTTCGCCCGTTTATATTTTTCCATTAAATCCCCAGATATGGTCGAGCAGCTGGTGAAGCTACAAATAATGCTATGGGCGCTGCAGGGTTTGCTTTACAGGTAACCTTAGACGACGTCCTAAACAGCAATTTTACCAAGTAAACTATATAAGATGGTTATTTTCACTCATGTTAAGTTTTTTTTTTCATAACTGTTTACCTCTTCCACTTGATAGGATCTCTCATTTGTCATTTAAGTAAAAATGACAAACCGGCTGAGTCTAGTTGAGATAGTTCAGTGTATCACAGTCCCCATCCCAGCGGTTCTCTGGTGTGTCACGCAACGCTCTTATTTTGTTTGTAGGAGCTTTGCATGACATCCCAAAGAACAGCTACGAAGGAGAAGTCGTTGTATCATTATGTCCTTATATTTGTATTTCGTTCATTTACTTACACTTGTTTGCTTTTTTCTGTGTCTTCCGTAGACTTGTTGGAATGTGGAAAATTTGGGAATCAAGTGAGTATTTATTAGACAACGAGCAGTCCTTCTTTTTCAGCTAATCTGCTGCGCTAGTTCAATTAAATTATTGAAAAACAAATTGATTTTGGAGCGCCGTGCGGAAATCGCGAAAGCCTACTTTTCGTGCGTCTCACGCTCACAGTTCCGCACGGCGCGCGAACATCATTTTTTTTTTTTTTTTCACGAATGAGTTTGTTTTTACTCGCGCGACAGAATTTACCCAAAAGGAGAAGCTGCACGTAATCTAGTATTTGTGTGATTAAAATGAATTTTTTACATGGCTGTTCTCAGCTGTTTTATCCTTATCAACCCGAGATTGAACGCGGCTTCCCAAACAAGAGGCGCTGACCCGTGACTTGACTCTTGTAGTTGTTGCTCTTCTTTGTTTAAATGCCAACCCATGGTGGAGTTAAGAGCGCTGGTGGTGTTTCTTGAATCCTCCGAAGAAAACGAATGTCGTTGAATGAGGACGATCAACTGGAACAAGCGACAAACAAATGAAAAAGGACTTATTATTTCCTCTGTAATTATTTTTCAGGGCTATTGCCAAGAGAACTGCCAAAGATACCGGGAAAGAGATGGTTAAAGAAGCTGAGAAGAAATACCTCACAGATGGAAAGGAACAGGAATAGAACACAGTGAAAAAAAAAATAGATATTATCATTAAATTACAATTGTCTTTGAATTAGCATTTTGTCAAAAAAAACGAATATCCGTCAAATTGAAAAAAGAAATTATACCGAAGAGCAATATAAACTGATGAAGGGAATGAAAAAAATCCAGTTTGAATTTCCAATCCTTAAACCTGAGATAGGCTGGTTTTCATTATAGATACTGTGTACGTATTTTTGCACCAGATAAAGACTGACAAAGAAAATAGAAAATCTTTTGTATATAGCAAAATAATTATAACCCTAACATCCGCCAATTTTGTAACATTTTGTTTAATTTGAATAAATGCGGATTTCTTTGGTGACTACATGGCATGGTAATAAGTTTCACTACAGCTAATAATGAATGAATCCCCACTCTCTAAGGAGAAACTTCAAGCAGTCTCTCCTCCATAGCCCGCCCGTTGCGCGGGTCAAAAAACTAGCGAGAAATGAAATTGATGTAGTGTGCCTCTCGGAACTTTGTGAGTAAGGCGCGGTGCGCGCCAACATCAACTTTTTTTTCGCTGATTTTGATTGACTCTCATTACGGACCTCGCCGAGAGGAGGAACGCCACGTAGTCTACTGTAGGGGGAGGGGAGTGAAACAACCTTTCGTAATATGCCATTGAGTCGTCAGGACCATTCCTGCGAAAAGTCCATCATTTTTGAGGAGATATTAATTTAGAGAAGAAGACACTTTTAAATAGATATTTTTTGACAAGAGGGATCGTTCTTCACCTGAAAAGGTTTGTACCATTTGATTCGTAGTTTCTGTTCGCGAAATGAGCCCGTATTTCCCTTCGGAAGGACTAAAGAGACCAGAGAGATAGTGGAAATGGAGCGTATCATGGCTTTTTGTCAGGGGCAAAAATCGTTCTCCATTAGACCTAGGTGTTTTACCTAATGTCGCTCTTTTACGAAGGCTTCTGATCTATTCTTCTCGATACAAATGCAAAGCGACCTTTTGAACTAGAGCTATCAGAAAACCCCTCCACTAAGTTGCTTTTTGCTGGCCTTTTTCTTATTATTATCTGAAGTCACACTAGAAGAGAAGTGTTAAATCAATCTCAAAAAAAGTCGTTCCTACTCCGTTATCTCAGTCCCACTTAGCGTAGCCTGGTGACGAACGTGTGTAATGGACCGTGAGCGATATGGCATTTAGGAGGTTTGGTTTACACCGGTGCTCGAAGTGTTCTGGTGTTTGAGCGAGAACTATCTAAGAAAATCCAAATTAATCGTAAAAACCGTAAGGGATCCTTGCTTCTTTATACTCAGAAAGATGGCTGCAATGCCTCTTCAAGCTCGTCCACAGGGTATTACCTTCGATGAATATGGCAGACCATTTATAATTTTGAAAGAACAAGATAGGCAAACGAGGTTGACAGGGCTCGATGCACAGAAGGTGATTCTCGAATAATGACAGTCACATGCGTGAAATTGATTTGATTTCCACCTCGTTCATCCCATTGATTTTTTTCTTTTTTTAAATCTCTAGTCTCACATTTTGGCGGCAAAAGCTGTAGCTAATATTCTACGCACTTCTCTGGGGCCGAAAGGTATGAAACGTTTAAGCTACACGAACATCACTTGCAGCTGTCATTCGATTCGACTGGGCTGATTTTTACATTTTGTCAAACTCCGTCAAAGAATCAGACGAACTCCTCTTCGCCATCGTCTCTTTAGAGAAATGGGAAGTCCCCTAACTCAGCTGTAAATTGAACAGTGTTCTACGATGAATGCCTGGTAGTCACGCTAGTAGTAAACTCGTGTACAGTACATGTGTACTTGACTTACCCTTGTAGTTCTGGTGTATGCGCTTTGAAAATCATTTCTTTGACAATCTTCGAACTTGTTACATTTCTCGCGAACACCAAACAGTGATTTAACACAGCAATACCACTCCTGTGCTTTATGAGAGCATCAAACCACACAGATGCATAAAGCAGTTGCAATCAGTTAAGCTTTACTACTACTACTACTTTAATACAAGAACACTTTTTTAAAAGATAGCCTAGCTTTTTAAATTACCCACTGCTGATTCTTATGAAATGCATATTTTGGTTAGCCTCCTCACTCAGCTAGATTCTAAAGGTATTTTTACAAAATATAGGTAAAAATGCAGCACAAAAACAACACCCCTGTAAACAAGTCAGTATACAACTTATTTGCAACTGGGTGTTGTGTTTATATGACAGCAACTTTTCTTGACTTAAATTTACAAAGGATTGTATCACAGGCAGAAGGGTGACCCACTAATTTATATAGTGGGGCACACAAAGTGTAAGATATCTTCCCCCACCCTACTGTCAGACCCCTTTCCATATTTCACTGCTTAAGTGCTCTTGAATCATAGCCATGGTTGCTGAAGAGGCAACAAGCCCTAAAACACTGTGCATCTTTTAGACCGATATCAACTTTTCTCGTATAATTTCTCTCAATGAGTTATGTGATTTCATAGGCATGGACAAAATGATGGTGAGCCCAGATGGAGATGTTACAGTAACCAATGATGGTGCCACCATTTTGGACATGATGCAGGTGGAACATCAAATAGCTAAACTGATGGTTGACTTGTCAAAATCACAGGATGATGAAATTGGTGATGGAACAACAGGAGTTGTAGGTAAGAATACCAGAATTTCAAAGTGAAGGCTTCATTTGTTGTTAATCTTGTCTAGCCTGAAATACAATAATAGTACTGTCACAAATGGTAGGAATTGAAGAGTTTAGTAATTAAAATTAACCCCCCCTCACCCTAATATCATTATGCATATTCTCCATACTGTTCTCTATGTATTTCCTAAGGTGCTGACAAGGAGAATTTGTTTAACAATCCAGAGTTTTTGTAGGTGTCATATCCTTTATTCTCATGACCTTAATGTGTGAATTGGGGCTGATATTGTAAGGAGAAAAAAGGTGTAAGTCACTCTTAGGAGTCCAAAATGCTGAAAACTTTGCTTGGAAGCTTTCAAGTGCAGCTTTACCTCAGTGCCATGGTCAGAGTGTTTTAATCACAGAAAAGTGTGGTTGATTTGTTATTTTGCGTTACATCTGTCTTGATAGTTCTTGCTGGAGCTCTTCTTGAACAAGCTGAACAGTTGTTGGACTGGGGAATTCACCCTATAAGGATTGCTGATGGTTATGAGCTGGCTGCCAGAATAGCAAATGAACATCTTGACAAGATTTGTGACAGCTTTCCTATTGACAAAAGCAATCCAGAATCTCTTATTCAGACTGCCATGACAACATTGGGATCTAAAATGTAAGTATGATAGTACATATGTCAGGGTCATTTGCAGCAAAGCAAAATAATATTGTAGACACAGAACATGTATTTTATTTTTTAACTGCCTACAATAGTATTTGTTTTCTCCTATAACCAGGGTTCAAAGTTAGTTGTTAAAACCAATCATCTTCTAATACCTCTTCCCCCCCAAAAAAAAAGAAAAAAAGAAAAAAAACACATCACCACATTTTCTTGAGAAACTTACCCCTTCAATTCAAAATAAACTTTGGTTGCACCCCTCAATACCCTGCCCCCTTAAAAATATTGTCTCTTATATACCTAGGGAGCCATCAACAAAATTTGACAATATGCACATACATAATAATTATCAGTGCTCCAAGTTGCGATCATTTTGGTCACCATGGTGTGAAGTTGACCAAAATTTTTTAAAGGCAACCATTTTACAATTGAATGTTGCCAATAGGCATCTTTTTGGAAAATTGATTTTTGAACCCTGGTCATGAAAGAAAACAAAGGCTTTTGCAGGCAGTTAAAAAATATGATACATGTTTTACATCCAACTGGGAGCACCGATAATTGTATGTGCATGTTGTCATATTTTGTTGATGACTCCGAAGGTAAATGAGAGACAATATTTTTGAGGGGGGGGGGGTTGGGGGTGCAAACAAAGTTTATTTTGAATAGAAGGGATTAGTTTCTTCAGAAACTGTGTTGATGTGTTTTTTTCCCTTTTTCCTGGGGAAGTGGGAGGGGGGGGGTATTAAGAGATGATTTGGTTTAATCAACTGAGTTGACTGTGTTAATTGGTCATTGTAAAGAGTTTTTAAAACTATTTATGGGGGCCAATTCACATTATTTATCAACTCACTCGATAGAACCAAATGATGACGTTTATGGGCGTTTCTGATACGTACTGCTTCAATAAACAGACTTAGCATTTAGTAAGTATTTTCAAGGGGTAAGAAATGTAACCCTCAGTAGTTTATAGACATTTTTCGATATACGTGACATACATGCAGGGTCACCCTGTAGTCTGTATAAACTGTATGGAAGATGCAATTGCTTGGTGGCCAAATGATTAATTTGGTGAGCTCAGGATCTGCCTGTTTACGTGACTGTCTGATCATGGTAGCTCTTTTCTTCGTTTGTTTTAGTGTTAGCAGATGTCAGAGGAAGATGGCAGAAATTGCAGTGGAAGCTGTTCTGTCTGTGGCAGACTTGGAAAGAAAAGATGTAGACTTTGAATTAATTAAGATGGAAGGGAAAGAAGGTGGAAAGCTGGAGGACACAATGTTGGTTAAAGGAGTTGTTGTGGACAAAGATATGAGCCATCCTCAAATGCCAAAGGTACATTGTGTTGCTACAAACCCAGAAACACATGATCTCCTTCATCAAAGTCGGTTATATACTCTGTGTAATAGGGTACTTGGGTACTTTGTGTCAATCTGAACTACGTATGTAAATATTTTGTAGCTGAACTTGCTTTACTGAGGTAGGGGAAGCTTGAAAACTTTCCAGAATGAGTGGAAAGATTGAAATGATTGCAACAATTGAATAACTCCAATCACAAGTTGTTATCTCCAGATAAATTGCTATATTTCTTCCACTACAACTGGAATTTACACTTAACCCAATGACCCTCACCCTGTGCTTTTTTACTCCTTGAAGTGACATTTAAACTCCCTTTACAATATCAAAATGCTTCCCAACACCAAGGGGTGTAATCCTGTAAGATCTCTGAGATTGCATTAGTAATTCCCCTTACTGTTGTTAGTTTGGAGAATTTTTTATTGGATGAACTTCTAATCCCCTTATTGATATTTCTCTTTCCTCTCATCACTTCTATGCTTAATATTGCATTTATGTTGTAAGGAGAAAGTCTGTCTTGGTCACTTGTTGCAATTAACCCTTCAACTCTCATAAGTGATTAACATTCAACTTCTCCCCATAATATTCATACATTATACAGCAAACAGGTAATGAGAATACTCAAAATGATCAGGTAGAAGTTGCTTTCTTGATGTAACACCAAATTCTTCTTAACCAAATTGCAAGGAAATGCATAAAAGCTCGAAGGGAGAATCAACAATCACATCTTGGGAGTTAAAGGGTTAACTTATTTACAAATATGTAGCAGCTGGTGGGGAGAGTTACCAGTCAGATCTTGGGAGAAGAAAGTATGCAGTTCTGGAACTGCTCTTGTGTCTTACAGGTCATCAAAGATGCTAAACTTGCTATTTTGACCTGCCCGTTTGAGCCGCCCAAGCCAAAAACAAAGCATAAGTTGGATGTGACTTCTGTAGAAGATTATCAAAAACTGCGAGAGTATGAGAAGGAGAAATTTGAAGAAATGGTTAAACAAGTAAAGGATACAGGTGCCAACCTGGCCATATGTCAGTGGGGTTTTGATGATGAAGCTAACCATCTTTTACTGCAAAATGAGCTGCCTGCTGTCAGATGGGTTGGAGGACCTGAAATAGAGGTAATTATTTTGTTCTGTGCAGTGCTGCTTGATCCTAGTTACAGCTTCTGTAGCTAGCTGGAAATTTCCAAAAATGTGGCTATCCACATACAGGGAGTGGAGGGGAAGTCAGACAAAATATCAGAACATATTATGACCAACTAAGCCACAAACTTAAAAGGATAATTTGGTATTATCAAATGAGTGTAAGCCCTTTATCAGAGTGAATGAATGGTTAATGAGGGGCTGATGAGGGGCTAACACTTGAAATGTCAGCTTTTTAAACTCTAATTAGTGGCCAATTTACGTTATCAAATCAGTTAAATGAATACCAAATTACCTTGTTATACTCTCCCATCAACACAGCACCACAGTTTCTTTAGAAACTAACCTACTTTATTCATAAGCCACAAACTTGCTGCCTTAGCCTGTTGGAAACGAACACAAAGTTTGTGTCATAGATACCCATCACTTATCACAACACCACAATCCACTGTTACATTTAAATTACATCTGATTGAACAGATCATTGTCATTTGCCTTTCCTTGCAATTGTGAACCCTTTACACCCTTTCATCAGTATACATATTCTCCATACTGTTCTTGATACATTTTTTGTGGTACTGACAATGAGAATTTGTTAAACAATCAAGAGCTTCCTAAGTTGATGAAAATTTCCTTAATTCTGAGGACTTCTATGTTTACTGTGATATTGTAAGAGGAAATTAGAAACCAGTCACTATTAGGAGTGAAAGGGTTAACACACTCTTCAGGTAGTGTACAGCAGAATAAGGCAATGCATCACCTGTTTATCTGATGTACATAGCCTCACCATTTTGTTGCGATATTCAATGTCTCCTTCCAAGTTGCAAGTTAGATTTTCCCTCAGTTACACCTCCTTGAAGGTTAACTTGCATCATGTCCAGGACTTAGCTTACTTGTGTCTCAGTGGATAGAGCATGAAAACATATTTGTAGGTCAACAATGATTGCTACAGACTATTCTGATTTCTCTCCTCAGCTTATTGCAATTGCAACTGGCGGAAGAATAGTTCCTAGATTTTCTGAACTGACAGCAGATAAACTTGGCAAAGCTGGCCTGGTGAAAGAGCTCAGTTTTGGAACAACCAAAGATAGGATGTTAGTTATTGAAGAATGCCTCAACTCCCGAGCTGTTACAATCTTCATCCGTGGAGGAAACAAAATGGTACAGTAGTGTTTTATATTATTGGAATGCCTGTACTTGTAAATGTATCCCTCTTTGTTACTGTGAAGTCAATTTTTTTATTTTGTCAGCTCCTTTGACATGTAATAAATAACAGTAAACAATGTGCATGTTATGCTCACTAACAAGTTAACAGGAATGGACTAAATTTGTTTTCTTCTTACAGATCATCGCTGAGGCTAAAAGAAGCATGCATGATGCATTGTGTGTTGTCAGGAATCTTGTGCGAGATAACCGTGTTGTGTATGGTGGAGGTGCAACTGAGCTTGCATGCTCCTTAGCTGTCACCAAAGAGGCAGATAAAGTAAGGGGCTTAAAGAAGCTTTAATAGATGGGTTAGAACGAGGTGGCAAACTTCAGAGTGAAATCATGGCTGTACGTTGGAGTTTTACTAAAGTTTTAAAGGATCATTGATGAATCAGGCTTCGCTCATAGCCCTTATATTTTGTATGATTTGCTGATGTAGTCTACTGACAAATTGAATGCATCCATGAAGCTAGAACGGCTCTATCTTTTATGACAAATAGGTCAAGTTCGTGCAATTTTTAGGTATAAAAACACAATTAAGACAAACAGTAGCCTTTGAACCACAGCTATGGCACCTGCCCTGTGGTTACACAACTATTGTACTGTCAAGCTTATTGAACAATTGTTAACCCTTAACACTCTATTAAACATCAGCACACTTGCTCTCCTTACTGTTCTGCATACATTTCCTATGGTGCTGACATGGAGAATAGTCCATTTTACAGTTGCGTGCTTGGTTGCCAAGCCTTTAAACAGGAGTGAGGCTAAGGATGACCTTGTTATGATGCAATCGTTGCTGCTTTTCAAATGTAAATTACTTTGTTAGAATGCTATCTAGATACTGTTCTCTATCACAACAAGGTCACCTTCAGCCTCACTCCAAATCAAAGGCATGGCAACTGAGTACACAACTGTTAAAATGACCAATTCGTTGAACATTATCAAGAGCTTCTGAACTTGGTGATCATTTCCTTTATTCTCCTGACCTTCATTTGTTTGCTTCAGGGGTGATATTGTCTACAGCGATTAGATCCTGGGCACTCCCAGTGGTCAAAGGAATAATGTTAAACTGTTGTTTCCTTAGATATCCACGCTTGAGCAGTATGCTATGAGAGCATTCAGCGATGCCTTAGAAGCCATACCTCTTGCACTGGCAGAGAATTCAGGCCTGAACCCAATTCAAACTGTAGCCAGTATTAAATCCAGGCAAGTCGCTGAAGGCAATCCCAGACTTGGTGTTGACTGCATGGATGCCGGAATTAATGGTAGGTAGCTTTTTTTAATCCAACTAGATTCGCCACTGTCGTTGCAAAATGGCCTTTCCTCTCCCCTATTGTAAAGGGTCTGTGCAGGGAAAGTAATTACGTATATTTGTAACAACCATGCGATTGTCTCAACAACGAATTTTGTTTCAAACCAAATCTATAGAAAGGAATAGAAAACTAAGTGTATTTATCAATTATTCGCCGAAGGTGAAGCAAACATTGTTAAATCACCCCTGGCACGAAGTCGAGGGATTATTCAGCAATGTTCAATAGTATAATTGCTCAAGTGCTTGACTCATATCCTTTTGTAAATTCAACAAATAAAGAAAGCATTTTGCATACTTTGTTACAATTGTGGTGATTACCCATATCAATATAAACAAGGAGTCTCAACAAGTTAATTAAATTCAATCTGTTATAAATTCATATCTTTCTTTTGAAGTGTCTCGCCAAACTCAATGTTCTCTTCGTAATTGAATGATCTTCTATCGCGATTAACCCTGTTTTGAAATTTAGTGTCCCTGCTATAATCACCTCGCGCAAGGTGATTATAGCGAGATATGAGGCAATCCTCGACCAATCAGAGCGCGCGCATTTCTTTAATTACCCGAGCAACTTTACTATTGATAATTAGACTGGTTTGACTAATGCAATTAACTCACAATTATGCTGACACATTCCCGGTCTTAAACTCTTTTCGTAGATATGAAAGAACAACACGTGATTGAAACGCTAATTGGAAAGAAACAGCAAATAAGTCTAGCCACCCAACTTGTAAAGATGATCCTTAAAATCGACGACATCAGGACGCAAGGAGAATCGTGACACCCTGACTTGGCTAGCTTGCGTGACATCTGAGTGTGACATACGATTGGTGGGCAAGAATCACACTGGTGTGTTGCCTACGCCAGTTATTCATGGACTCTATGTTTGAACAAAAGTTGTCAGGCGAAGTTTCTTTACAGATAGTGTTGAACATTCTAGTTAATTAAATGTTCAAGAAATCGTCTTTTAAGCCGGCGAAAGAACCAAAGAACAGTCTTAATTCGACGAAGATCGAGAGAAATGTATCACATTGGTGAATAAAATTGTAAACAGAGCGCACAAATGGTGTTGTTATTGCAGTTTATATATAGTTGGTACTAACCAGAAATATGAGGTTACTGTAACAGCTGAATGAGCTATTATTTTTGGTATTAACGTAACGAGCTCTCTTGAATGAGATTCTGCCACCTCAATAAACCTCGGCTAGAGAGAGGTTCAGTTAGAGAAAACTGAAGTGTTTTGCTCGAGATCAATGGACAGTAAGCTGAGCAGTCCTCGAATTCAGACCGTCTCCCCGGAGTCTGGCGCGTTAGTCACCAGGCTATTGCGTTTCCAACTGTCATGTAGACCCTGATGAAGATGTCTTTGAAAGCGCACGAGGTTCCCGCTCAATTAATTAACGGCTTCGGCTGTGCGCGTTATTCTTAGAAGATAAAGTTAATGCTGATTTTTTTTTCAAAGAAGGAAAAAGTTTCTATATGGAAAGGAAGGCATAGAAAACCGCGTGAGCTTCTGTGTCATTCATAGGTGTTAAGTAAAGAAGCGGAAGTTCTAGAAAGCAGCAGACATGTTATCATTTTATGGGAAGACAACTATTTCATTATTGAGGACATTCAATTTGACAGTCCCATTTCATCATCGATATACGAAAGTGCAAGTTGATATATAAAATTGCATAGGATAAGAATTAGTCTTATCACAAAAGGAAACGCGACAACAACAGAACAAACAGGAAGTTGGTTATGATGCAACTAATGAGTTAACGTGCGTAGCATTTGATAGGAAGAGATTCTTTGATCTTCAATTGGGAACTGCTGGTAGCGTGATCAAAGATTCTGAAAAATCGTGAGAAGAGAGACAATGAGATTGCTGGGAATTTTGTAAAAGTTATAATATGAAAGAGGTCTGAAAGTTATTTAAAATTAAGAGAAACCATTCGGTATTTTTTCCACACGCGTGCATCAACACCTAGTCATTGATCGGATCTGATCTGACCTGATCGCTAATTTAACCCGAAGATGACAGCGGAACAGTCGAAACTTGTCTTTGAAAAAAAATGTTGTCTCCTTTCTTAAAATTGAAAGAAAATAATGATTGTGCTCTCTAATTAATCTGAAGTGGCTTGCCACGTCAGGAAATGCTGCTCCAGATGCAATGCTGAGTTGCACATACTTCTACGGACTGGTTTTGAGATCCGTAATTAATTTATAGTGATCATTTGACACATGAAAAGCGCTATTTTTGATAATTCTAAATTACAGCAAAAAATAATTTAAGGAAAGCAAAAGATTTACACATTCGTTTGCCCACGAGAGTTGAAAGAAAAATTGATGATAAATAACAAGAGATGACTCATAAAAATCAGTTTAAGCACTGCAGAATATGGCCAGCAAAATTGTATTGTAAAACAAATGCATGAGTACTACAATATGAAACAATAGCCTCTATTTTGAGCCGAAATATGCACGGGTATTGTACGCGGACATTATCTGTTCCAAGCTACGAGTAGTTTTGTGCTCTTCGAGGAACAGGTAATATCCAAGGACAAATGTATGAGAATATTTTCGTGCAAAATAGAGAATATTGTGTGTATTATCTTTCAAATATTTTGCAACGTGGGTGAACGGACGAAAAGCTTACTTTTCACGGCGGGGGAAGTTTTATTTGGAGTGTTCTCTGCTACGGCTCTATGAACAAGCAAATGCTTCCCTTGTTCTGTAACAATTATGAGACTCTCTCAACTTGAAATAAATTTGAAACGGAAACTTATCGTAATGGATATAAGGTTTGAAATTTTGGGAATATCACCCGGGAGATATTTTCGAATATCCCCCAGTTTTAGCTGGGGAAAATTCTGTCACACGATGCGTTAGGACCAATCGTGTGCGAGCAAAAATATTTGATGGATTAATATATATGATAATGCTTCTTTTCAGTAAACAAAAAAAAATGATGATTATGATGATGATGATGATAGAGAATATTGTGTGTATTATCTTTCAAATATTTTGCATCGTGGGTGAACGGACGAACAGCTTTTTTTTCACGGCGGGGGAAGTTTTATTTGGAGTGTTCTCTGCTACGGCTCTATGAACAAGCAAATGCTTCCCTTGTTCTGTAACAATTATGAGACTCTCTCAACTTGAAATAAATTTGAGACGGAAACTTATCGTAATGGATATAAGGTTTGAAATTTGGGGAATATCACCCGGGAGATAGACAGTTTTAGCTGGGGAAAATTCTGTCACACGATGCGTTAGGACCAATCGTGTGCGAGCAAAAATATTTGATGGATTAATATATATGATAATGCTTCTTTTCAGTAAACAAAAAAATGATGATTATGATGATGATGATGATGATGATGATGATGATGATGATGATAATAATAATATGAATAATAATAATATTAATCATAGGAAGAAGGAGAAGAAGAAGGAGAAGAAGAAGAGGAAGATTAAGAAGATTAGAGAGAGAAAAAAAGTTATTCATAACTTAGCTGTACTCTTAACCCTTTACTTCCAGAATTGATCAAAATTTATCTTCTTGCAATTTCATTAAGTCATCTTGTAAAAAAAAGTTTTGAGAATAGACAAGCTTATCAGCCAGAGGGTGTTATTTTAGAATGAGACCAAATTCTCTTGTCTAGTTTACAATGAAAAATTATAGCAGTAGATAGAGAAAATGTTAAGAGTTCAGTGGTTAATGAGGCAACTGAAACGCAAGAGAAGCGTAAGCCGGCTGAACTCAAGGAAACAGATTAAAACACATTTTTGAAATTTGGACCAGAGTTTCTGTGACATTTTATCTGTTTAACAACCTGAAACATATGAATCGTCTAAAAAAAAAATTGATTAAATTTACGACTGATGGGTCATTACGAATTATTAGCACCATGGATAGGTGAAGTTATTTGAGTTTAATAAAGGCAAATAACGTATTCCGTAGTGGTGAAAAATGTTAATATAATGTTGAAGAGATGAAATTTTTTATTCACCATGCGGATAATAAAATCAGAAAAGTGTTTATTACGAAGGGAAGATGTACAGCACAATACAGGTTAAAAGCGCATCACGCAGTGGTGAAAAATTTCAAAATACATCAAAAACTAAATGCCATTTCTAAGCATTACTTTGTCAGCTAAAAATTGTTTATCCAATTCACGACAATGAGTGGAATTTTCCTCGCTTATGATATATCCTACAGAGTTAAGTTACATTTGAACTGCTTGCCAGCTACGTGCCCACTCTTAGCAACAGTCAATATGATCCAATCAAAGGTGGACGGTGAAGCTGACAAGATTGTTATTTTTAAGAAACCACCCACATTGCAATTTAACCGAAGCAGACTGAATGTATTGATTGAAATCAGCTACATCCTACTTTTCTAGTTAAGACAGATGATTTTATCTCTTTAATACGCCAGAACATGCCCTGTACCTTTGGATAGTCAGACCACCGCAACAACAGGTAAAGTTTTCGTAGGGTTAAAGGAAACACTAGCGGAAAGGTGAAGCTTACGATCCGCAGAATTGTTTTAGTTGTAGGAACAAAGCTATGGATCTAAGAATTTTAAACTAGATTCAGCTTTTAACCACAATCTAAAGAGTTTTTTTTTTTACAGTAAAGTCCGTTAATCGGTTAATCATTTCATATGAAAATTTACTTGAAAAATTTACGTAACGATGCGACCGTGGAATGGAGGGGGGGGAGGGGGGAGTGGGGCGAAGATAGAGAGAAAGAAAGTGAGAAAAACTCTCAGAAAACTTCGTAAAAATGAAACCTAGAAACCCAATTTCTCAAAGGTTAACTAGTTTATTATTTCTTTTCTTTTCGATCACGAAGTCAGTGTTCTAGAATGATGCAGAGGGGGGAGGGGAGACCTTTTCTTCTGAAGAGAGATATCACGGTTTAAGGTATCGAAATGGGTATGGAAAACTACCGCAGATGTTTTTAATAGGGTCCAATGATGGATATACGATGTTGACTTAAGAGAAAAGCGAGAAAATGAGTTTAAGTCTTTTAACCGCGCCAGGAAGTAGGTTCTTTGTTTAGATTGTCTCACGGAAGACATCAATTTTGCCGATTACAGCCTAGCTTCCCGCAAGATCCTTAAAATTATTGGTTGAATGGCGGGTGTATGTCTAGGATCTCCATTTAACTTTTCTTTGGTCCCCTCAGGGAACACGAAAGTGCTTCAAGGAAAAGTTTTAATCGGAGGTGACACATGTCATTCTCTGCAAAATAAATTTGCTTTTTCGTGTCTCTTTAATGTCTTCTAAGATCAGTTAAGTATCACTTGTCAGGTTTTCAGGCGAGATTCATTGTGTTGTTATTTGGTTTGTTATTATGTGAAACCTCTACTGGCGCCGACGGTGGGCACAATTTCAGTAAACCATTATACTGCATATCGTGGAATAAACCTTCCTCTGCCAGATTGTTTTTTAGAGATTAACCTTATGATACTGTAACTTTTTTTTGCCTCAAATTTTGCAAAAATTGCGACGTAACTTTGTGAATAATTTAGTTTAGCCAGCACAAATCATTTTGCAGCTGCGACGGTAAGTTCTCAAAGGGCTTTTGAAGAAAAGTAAACTAAAATCAGTTGATAATTTGAATTTAAGGTTCTTCGTGATGAAACTTTTATAAGAAAAACAGATCAATTTGTCTAACAAAAAATGTCTTTAAAGAAAATGAGTTTCCGTGGGCGAATTTTATGCTCTTATTTTGTTTTTCTGTCGTGCAACATCGCCGTCAGCAATAAATTAACGTAACTGTCATCATAAAGCAAGATGTTTTTCGTTTTATCAAGAGCGTACGACTGAGAAAAAAAATTCTGAATCTTCTTGAGGA